AGTGCTACGATTCTCCATAAAACAAAAACACATTCGGCTGAAATTCGATATACTTTGACTCATAAATCTACTCCTCTATTATTTTCATCCTGAATGAATAAATGAAAGCGATTACTTCTAATAAAATCAGAAATTTTCGGGCCGTCAAAACATATTTCACATAAAAAGGGACTTGCAAAATTCACAGCACCTGTGGAAGAAGGTACTAGTTATCCACCCCTAATGGGTTTTATGCCCACCACTGAAATATATTAATCATCTTCGCCCGTTACTAAAACACCAAAATGTAGCTAGGCAAGACATAATGCATCCTTGAAAGGTATCAGTGATGTTTTGAATTTCTTTAGCACATTGAAGGTACTTATACTTGGCAGACAGTAACACTGATGCTATTAGCATGCGTTCTCTCAATGCCGAGAAAATTCAAAGGCATAGGAAGCAACTGAAGACGCATTTAACCCTAGGAATCATGGAACGCTTACTTCCAACTTTCACTCATAGCGAAAGCAGTCAGTAAGCAAAAGTGCGTGAGTTCTTGAGATGAAGGATGTAGTATATTAATGGTTTGTTAAGCTCACGGGTTTGATAACGGGCTATGCCAGTAGTCGTAAGCTCTACTGTGCATCGGCAATACATACTGCCACGATATTGTCCTTCTTCTCCAAGAAGTTGCAGGAGGTTATAAAAGGTTTCCGAGTTCATATCTCTCAATTTTTATTTTTTGACTGCTTGGTGATTTTGCATTTGAAATGTTAAGAATTCTACCATAAACATAGGCATGTAAAAACCTCAACAAAAGACACTTACTACATTTGTGAGCAGTCTAAAAAGATTTATTTTGGAAGAAATCATCCACGAAAATAACATATACAGGATCTGCAACTCTGCAGACTTCTACTCTTCAGGGTTTTACAGGCGTAATCATCGGGAAGGCAATATTTAGATACCTTATTCTATTAGTAGTTGAAACCTTATATTTTCTCTTATTTTCACAATCCAATCTTCCGTCTATTTTTCAACACTTGGACCTTAAGTCTCCATGGATCGTAGTTTGCAATATCCTGGCAGCATGTAGTCGCATCTCTCTCTCAGACTTCTAGCCCTTCCCTGAGCCAATACTAGTTCATTCTTATGCTTTGGTATGGTCTCTTATAACCTTATCTTTATCTTAATTCAAAAATAAAAACGTTTCGCCTCTATTTATCTCTGAGCATCCCAGTGGCACATCAAGAAGGCCACAAGCTGTTGAAGTATGCATGCGTATTGAGACTTCCCTCTAGACGAGAGAAACCATAATACTCTTACAGAATATGTAGATTTTACAAAAGTAGGGCTTAGGACCTGACCATCCGGCTATTGTGAAATGATGAAGCACCTATGTTCCACTTTACCAAAGCATTACATAACCCCTCTCCTCTTTTGAGTGTAGTCCCCAGCGTTCCCCTTGACCAGCCCCCAACTTCAGCCATCACAACGCAATCGGTGCTGTAAGGAAACACCCACGAGTCGATCGTGCCAGTCATCAAGTTTTTATGCAACTGAGGAGGCACTTGACCTCACTGTCATTGTTCCCTCTTGGCAAATCCACTGGATCTGAGTTCCGTCCTCTATGGGAGCTAAATTCGTGGACAGAGAAATGTGTTGGTCAACACGTGTATCATGGCTAGTCGTAGGATTACTGATCTAACAGCATAGTCACATAACAAAGGACGATAATTTACATCGTTCCTTGAAAGCAGGGCTTCGCTTCCATTCCTCCTTGCTACGCTGTTCTCGCTTCAATGCTGCTTAGCCATATCTCTTTGGGCTCTGTTCAGGTAGTGGAGAATTGAAGGAGGTATCACGGTTTCACATTATTGATATCCGTATATAGAAATGGTAGACAAGTCCGTAAAACATCTTAACAGATGGTTAAAGGCTAGTGTCGCATTACTGAAGAACGCTAGATTGACGTAACTGCTAGAGGTAGAGGTCAGTTACAGCCGTTTGGTTAGGGATCATTTTGGCTTCTCCCATCTGCAGTATTTGCACCTCATTCGCCTCGCTAAGGCTTATCACCCAGCCCTGGCCATTGGGATAGATGTACTTTAATATCGGGTTCACTTTCAGCTGCCACCAAAGTAGCGCCTCTTGACTTCCCTGAAGACAATATACTCAAGCAGAATATGTATTGCCAAAATAGTGGAGGATGTGGTGCTACTGGTTTGATCCGGCGGCTAGCCCACCCGCATTATGTACACAAACGAAGCACCCAAGTAGCCCCTTTTTCGTAACCAAGATTTATGCAACCAGCGCATTACACATACCCATACAGTGCGTCATGTAGACATTCCTATACTTTAATTTTAGCAGGAAATTCCTTCATGCACAAAATTGTCCATTTTTTAAATGACTAATATCTTACAATTAAGTCAATAATGAATTCATGCTGAATAGGCACACTTTTTGACCTCTGCGGAGGAAAACATTCATACCTGTCAACTATCTGTTTCCAAATCCGGTTTCTTCTATCTACCAATCATCCAAAAATCTATGAATTTGCAAAATTAAAAGAGACTAGGTTTTTTAAACCTCCTGATTTATTTCAGAGGTATCAGACAAAATTATTATTTTTAGGATTTTTCGTTCGCATTTTAGCAACAAATTCTCCAAGGAATTGGTAAAAATAAAACCCGAAATTCGCCTTTTCTGGCTTAATCGCACACTCATAACCCACTGACTCTTCACATTTTCCAAGTGCTGATCTAACCTTTGCAGGAATGGGCGCACTTTTGAGCCAGCATACTTTGACCGAAATGAATCCTTTCCAGGCTTGTTCGCGCTTGGCATTGACTGTCGGCTATCGACATCAAGAAAATGTCAGCAAGAGAAGCGAATGCAAAGAAACATCGAAAGTGATTTTTTACAGTCTGCTAAGTTAAATCAAAGCCTGTTCATAGTATTTTTTGCTCCGTCTGGGTAATATGGTAGTCTTACGTTATATGGAATGTCCACAGGGTTGCCTTGATTAAGTTCGGGAATCGCATTTACCCAATCACAGGTTGTTATTGGTGATTACGTCGCTAAACAGTTACACTAGGGCCTGACTGCTTGGGATTTTAATTGATATTGCTAGCCAAGAGCCATACCTGTGGAAAAAGGTCCGCAGGCTATCGATAACCAACTACTGTGCTGGTGGCTTTTAAATATTGGTGGTACTTAACTACACATAATGAGGCATAGGACTATTTATAGGATTTGTCTCCCATGTATTTTGAGTAGTTTCAAAACCACATACTTTGCTGTTTAATGTCTGATGTTCCACTGCTGTACGTCTACCAGCTTCATTCAAATTCTTCAAAATTACGGGGAAGCGTGACGGTCTGCACATTTACCCATCCCTCAACACAGGTCTTATATGAGACGGAAGTCTAGATCCGGTAAAATCTCCATGAGGGATCATGACGTTGTGATCAAGTAACTCCCCAGTTGCAGAGAATTTTGATGACTAGCCTGGTTGGCTCGGACTCAAAAGAGGAGAGGGGATATGTAATGTGTTAGCTGCTTGTTTAACTCTCGATTTTGGTAGAGGTCATATCTAGGTGCTCCGCCGTTGCACCTTCACCGGATGGGCTGGCCTATGGGTTATGTCAGCAGTTCCAGCTCTACTATGCGTCGAGTATTATGGATTTTTTCGTCTTCAAAGAAGCCTGGGTGCACTACATATACATTTGCATATGCTCTCAGCCTACCTCGGTCACAGATCCGATCTATCATCTACAGCTCAATTCTGGGCAATACTGAAAAAGGCCACAATAATGCTAATATTGGCCATTATTTGCACCTGCCAAACTCTGATTCTTGGTGCTCTGAAATGTTTAAAGTTCGAAATTTTTTTATGAGTTTAGCTTTATGGTTACAGTTTACCACAGAACCAGCTTGGATACCGCGATGTCAAATGGGATGGTCAATTAAAACACTGACATACCTTAGCACCCAATCTGATCTATCTGGTTTAGAGGCCAAATAAGGATTGCCTAGGAAGCCTGCGATTTTGTTTACGCAGACTGAAGGAGTGACCCCACACAGAGATGCGCGTATATGAGTGTGAGGTTGATTCGCCCAAAGAGGGGGTCATGTGTGGTCTTTAATGTCGGTACTTCATTCACAGTCTCTGGGTCTGTGCGTGTGCTTGTATCTGGGTTTTTGTGTCTCTCTCCCCCGATGGGGTGGTGGGTAATGGCAACGTGATTCACTGCAGAACGAGAGCTCCAGCTGAAGGTACAGACAAAATAAAGATGATTAAAAGGAAGAAAAAGGTTTAGGGGATTCCCTTCTTCAGTCTCTTTTTGTGTTACTCTTCGGTGAAAATATCTTGGTGATCGTAGGTAGCTATGGGGATGACTGCTCTTGTGCTGATAAATAGAAGGCGGGGGACTTAAGATGACCCGAGAGTGCACCGCTTCCCTTAAGGATGATAGAAATTTTTTGGGGATTAGAAAAACTAGGAGTTTTTTTCGGGTATCTATACTTTTGGAAACGTATAAAAACCAGTCAATTAAACTGCTGAATAATTGACATCGAAAAAATATTGGTGTCATCGCTATATGACAACGCTTAATGGTGATAGCTTTCATTCCACAAGACCAGTTGAAGACGCCTATTCAGTGGAAAATTTTATTATGAATTTGGCTACATCGAGAATAGAATTGAGGCCTTTATTGTTCTCACATTGGCTGAAGGTATCTGCTTAATTTGCAGAATGCGTTATTATTGCCTATAGAGGTAACGAGTTGGATTTGTACTAGAAATACGAATTAGGAAATTTATTTGGTCAGAGGTTTCGAGGACTAAATCCATCCTTGAATTTCAGTGGTTCATTAATTAGAGTTTAACTCTTAAAAACGATACATAGTACGTGGCATATTATGCTAAATAATCTTGGAAATCGCAATCGCTGTTTACGCGGAGCCGGCCTAAACACGAACAGATGGATTCGTAGACGATAACTAATTCCTTGGTTAAATCCAACCCAAATTGTCAATAAAAAGATCATCTTTGATACTTTTTTTGAAATTTATGGTGTTCCTAAATTAACGCGAATACTCTCATTAATCTAGAAGGAGAGAACAGGAAAATAGATTATAGTGCCCCAAGATTTCCCTGTAGACCAAAGGAGCCACACTAATAGGGTAGAGTAGATTTGTATTCGATGTACAGTAGGGCTTAAGCCTACTGGCATGCCTCGGAGGCCAGCCTACCCGGCGACGATGCAGTGACTGACCACCTAAGTGGCCCCTTCAAGAAAACTGAGAGTTGAATAAACAATTAACGAATTCCGTAGAGGCTCTCCTCCTTCTAGAGTCGTTTTAGTGCTTTCATTGGTCTACTTCCCCCATTAGCCATCACAACTTAATCGGCGTTGTAAGGAAACACCCACGAGCCATCCATGCCAGTCACTGAATTTCCTCACAACCGAGGACGTCTGACCACAATGTCACTGATCCCTCATAGAAATTCAACTGGATCTAGAGCTTCGTCCTGCACGGCAACTAAAAACAGGGAAAAGGAGTGTAATGACCAACACTTATGTTCGTAGCCAGTCGCTGGAACACTGGTCTAAAGGCAAAGTCATGTAAAAAAGGACTGAATGTAACATCCTTTCGTAGAGATAGGGTTTGGCTTTCATTCCTCCTTGCCACGTTGTTCTCACTTCAGAGTTACCCTATCATATCCATCAGGGTATCGAGCTAAAAGAGAAGTGGAGGTGTTGCGTTCCCACGTATTTTTTATCTTCATTCAGGAGGGTAAACAACTCCGTAATGGAACTTTTCAGATGGTTAACGGCTGGTGTCGCTTCCGCTGTTAATAGCATTCCTGCAGAACACGAGATTGGTGTAATTGCTGGAAGTAGACATCATTTTTAGCCACCCTATTAAGGTTGGTCACCGATTCTCCCATCCGCAGCATGTGCACTTCTTTCGCCCTTCCAAGTTCGTCAGCTAATAGTAGAAATCAGGATAGATGTACCTTAAGACGGGGTTTGCTTTCCGCTGCCACCACAACAGCGCCTCGTGACTTTCCTGATGACGGCGGAAATAATAATACTAGGACAGAATATATATTGTCGACGTAGAGAAGAGCTTGGAGCTACTGACATGGCCCAAAGACTAGGTCGCCAGGACGAGGTATAATGGTGGAGCCCCTAAGTCCTCCATTGCCAAAACCGAGAGTTTAAGCAAACAACCAATATATTACAGCATCATAAAATGTTATGGTAATTAACATAAAGGGCAAACTTTCATCGTGTTAGGGGTTTCCTTGGGAATGCTTGCAATGCGTCTCATATCCGACTTAACACAATTTCTTACATCAATGAGATGTAAGTATCAACGCTAAAATATGTCTTTGCAAAGAAACAACCAATTTCAGTAGAATTATTCATAACAATTTGTATTGCTTGTTCGAATGTACCTTTTAGACTAGAGAGGAGCAGTAGATACAAACCTTGTGATAAACAGGGCACCATTGGCCTCCGGAGTGGAAATGCACCCTCAACACACTTAGACCGTGATGCTTGTAGCCCTTTATCTATCGTTGTTTATAGAAGCGTGTCTTCAGCCAACTCGGCTGCTCGTCGAATGGGTTTGAAGGCTGAGGTGGAAGATGGAAACACCGAGCCTACAACAATACCTCATTAATTTACTTAGATAAAAGTCTTTGAAATTACTTTTTTTCCTAATTGAGCCAAATGCCTTTGTGCTAAAAAATGTGGGGCTATGATGATGATTAACCCATCTGTCTGGACACAAAATAATGTGTTGCAGTTTTTGGGTACTTTTAATAGGTTTAAAAACCATTTACATTTCTGAAGGAAAATGAATGCCGAATGACTGACGAAGCATCATGAAGATTGTCTGTTTTCAATGCTCTCTAGTTTACACTTGGAATACAATAATAAAGTGTTTTTAGCTTTAGCAAAGGCCACATTTTCAGTTGATAGCTGTGATACCACAGCGGGAGCTTAATGAACCTAAAAAACCGTGTCAAATTCCTCGGAAGGTCTTATTCTGACAGGGACTACGATGTATTACAAAAAAGAGTTGTTACTGATTGCTATAGACTGTTGCCTTGCTGAAATTCCCTAGGACCTCAGTTCGAGTGAACTGCACTTCAACTTCGGTTGCTACTTATGGGAAATGTATCATTTGGGCTAGAAAACATAACACTTTAAATCAACTGGAGGGTGATTCATGAACCAGAGGTGCATTAGCTGAACATCTTAGAGTAAATTCTTTCAAATCCTTTAATTATATAGATGGCATAGCCTGCCCTTTGGATTAAAAACGACTGTTCTAGGACTACCTTCCCGAGGCTACGCCTGAAGACAAAAAGGAGACATAAAACTTGGGCATAATATGTGTTACCGACGTGCATTAGGCCTTGGGACTACTGACAAGGCTTAAAGTCAGTCCTTTAGGTGTAGGAACAATGGCAGGGCACCCAAGTGACCTATTGCCAAAACTGAGAGTTAAACAAGTGGTTGAAGCATTACAGTACTTTAGACATTTATTTGAAAGGCTGGAACAATTCCATATTTTAAACACAGATTAGACACTTACGTGGAAATGTTTAATAATACCTGAGTTTACTGCAATGGACCTGTTTCCATATACAAATACACAGATTGAGCCAGCAAGAATTTAAAACTTTAGATGGAATACCCTGCAAACGATGAATTTGATGTCGTAATGAACTAAAACCTATGCAATTTTAAAGGCCCCATGCCAATGGTAATGAAAACTACCAGCAAATAGGGTTCAGTAGAAAAGGAAACGGCTGGTTTCAATCTCGGGGGTAGGCATTAGTAATGTCCCGGGGGAGGGGCATCTTCCCAGACTATTGATGATAGTGATGGCAGGCACCCGGCTGAAGTTACGGCACAGTAAACGTCTGAGCATAATGGGTAGGGAAGCAGTTGTCGGAGGGTGTACGGGAGCCAGACCACTTCAACAGATGGTTTTAACAGTTGGTGTTTTTTTGCCTCACCTATAAATGCTTGCGTCATGTGTGTATCTGTGGTGTGGATGGAAACATCCTGTTGATGTAACCTTCTCCACACGCTTGTTAGGGAAAAGACTGATGGGAAAAGACTGTTCCCTAGGTGTGCAGTGTCTACCTTTCTACCCCAAACAAACCTCTTATTCCGCTTGTGTAATAGCTAAAGGGTGAGATCAAATCCCTCCTGAACTAGTTAACTGGCGTACCTCATAACTAATGAATAGGTGTATCTAAAAAGTTGGAACTTGGACATATCAAAAATAAACCTTGCTACTTTTCCTTTTTGGTGAACTTTCTTCCTTGGACGCATAATTCAAAACATGATTACTTCTGCATGAACAATTCAATAGATAATTTACCACGTAAAAAACTTGAGAATTAGTCCTTTAATCAGTGTTTATGGTTATGATCGTGTAATTAAAGCTTTTAACAAACCCTTATTTCTGTAAGGAAGCTATCAAGTTCCAGATTATAGCCGCTTTCCTAAAATTAACTCCAAGTCCATACTTGTGATACAGTGAATGCATGTGCCCGCAGTTGACCTATTACAGCATTCAATGATTTCCCGATCAAGATGGGGATGATCCGTTTGCCACTTTGGAGAAAAGCGGCATCAAATGTGGAGATCTCTCAACAAAAGTAATTTGCAGTCAAGTGCAATCATATTGTCACAAGTGGTCGCTTTAAATGTATTTTAAGAGTTGTGAGTCAGGAATCTTAAGGATTTTATAAATCAGCAGATTATCAGACGAATTCCTTTATAATAAATTTAGAATAATCTACCAAATTCATTAATCATTCTTTGACTGAATTTTGCTTTGATTTTGTGATAATTTTAAGGCCTTGTGCGTGAAACCTTCGCGTGGGAAAATTTGCGCGAGCTTTTGATCCAAAGGCATTGGAGCTAATTCAATTGAACCATTCGAATTGTCGAATCAGTTGAATGACTACAGAGCCCCGAAACTTTCGCGAAGACGAAGATAGATTATATTAGGGCAACATATACATTGTCAACGTACGGTAGGATTTGGGGCTACTGGCATTGTCCAAAGGGCAGACCACCCGGCGCGAGTACAGTGACGGAGTCCCTAAGCGGCCCATTACCAAAACTGAGAGTTAGATAAAACAAATAGCTAACTGCAATGATAATGCGTGTATGACCGTATAAGCAAGGACGATTACTCATTTAATGGGAAACAACTGCTTTTGCAATGCTAATCACATTTTTTCGATTCTTCTGGAGTTTACCACCAAGAAGTTTTGTCCGCTGGCCCACCCCACAGCAAGAGTTGTAAATAAATACAATTGAGATTGATTTCGACTGAAGAGAAGATGTGATGTGCTTACAGTTAAGGTAAACCATTATCATTGTTTATTTATTTTTTGTGTAATTCATTAATGCTTTGAACTTGTTTATACCCTAATTTTCATCTAATTGGATTCCCTGCTATTATCCTTGTTTTGTTGATCACTGTTAGTCTCAAATTTGATTGTATTTCTGTAAAATTAAGTTAACCACTAATTAAGAAGGATTATTGCAATAATGGCTCCAAAACTGTTTGTGTGTGATTCCACAGAAAAAGTAGGGCATTTTCTGCGAAAGAATGCGAATTTAGTGTAAAATATTTATCTGTTGTATACCATTAATTATTTTCCTCCACTTTTCAGTCCATCTGACAGTAATCACGATCTGAAAGTGTTAATCTACCACACGATAGATGCTTAAGACATCGAAATCAGAGGCCACGCTCACAGTTCTTCTAAATGGGGCAGAGTTTTCCTGTATTTATGGAAAATTCTTCCATACTTTGGCAGATCCCGAGAAATGGAGGGAATTCATCTAAAAGCGTGATACAAGTTTACTTGTGGCACTGGAAATGTGATAGCCGCCTTTCTACGCTTGACTCTAGGTTTCAGCTTAGGGGATAATTGGCAACCTTATAGAGAGCACTATTTGTAAAGCGATTTTAGTAAGTATTTAGCTGTAAGCTACCACTTTTATGAAGTACATGGGTGTCCTAATGGGAAATCTTTTGTTCACTTTTAAAAAACACTGAAACTTTAGGCAAAAAAATAATTATAAGTTACTTATAGTTGTTGAAATCTACTAAAGAGCATCAATGAGTCGATATATTTTGTCACGAAGTATGAAACCTTGACCTCTTAAACCATAAATGGGGTATTTTCCGACTTACACCTCATGTAAGCATGTCCCCACTTCTCCGTATTTAAAAGCTTCAGAGTTATTTGTGTAAAATCACTCATAATTAAACAAAACTTGTGCGTTTTGTACATAATTTTATTATCAAAACGAGAACAGTGAACATCAGGGAGACATTTTGGTCGGCAAGGTTTCGATTATAGAATGAATATAGGGTAAGTTATGCAAAAGGCCAATTATTTGTTTAAACCATAGTTTTAGTAACGGGCCACTTAGTGGCTCCGCTGCTTTACCTCCGCCAGGCGGCTTGGCCTCCGAACTTCGAAAATACACATTTTGTCCGAGTGTTGTTTTTTGTCTTCAGAGAAGTCTTGGGACTCTACGGTGTCTCACGGTTCAATCTGTTCTGTTTGATGTATTAGGATTTTGAACCAAAGTCTATAAGATAAGGTCCAAATAGACTTGCGATGCCGATCACATGAAAGCTGATATACTGAGGGCATACGCATCTCTAAGTATGCATTTAAAAAATAACACACTTCAACTGCTATAATAGTTACCAGAGGGTGAAGTATTTAAAATAAATTAGCAATATTAATAGGATAATTTGCATGAAGAGACCCCACGTAAGTTAATTAAACTCCTTCGTTCCGACTTAGCTCATCAATAATAAATCTTTTATCGAGATTTCTTGGAACAGTCCGAATATCTAGTAGACCTATTATCATCTGCACAGGGAAACCCTTAATTTTTTAGTTCTTGTAAGGAAACCAAAGTTTTAATCCATCATAAACTGCTAGTCAATTACTTCGGTCAAGCCACAAGTTGAAACTCTCAGAATACGCAACCTGGATGTATTATTTTCCGCAATGCCAAAATAAGTCCACTATAGATGCTTCAAAAATAAAACCTTTTTAAAAACTTTTTCCATGGTAAGTAAATAGGTGATTGTGGACATTAAGTAGGCTCCATTTTTAACCCAAATGCAACCATTTTAGCCACTTCTGCTCATAGACTGCCAAATGGACAAATGTAATAACCAATATTAAAACTTGATAACGTCTGGAAGTACAACTCAGTATTATTTCTGAATCAGTTTTAAGGGGTCTCAAAAGAATAGTTAACGAGCAAAGGTTACTGATTACGTGATAGGCTGGATGTTTGCGTAACTCTTGTTCATGGTGACGGGCCAATTAGATGCTCTGCTATTCTGCCTTCAGCAGGTGGGCTGGCCCCCGGGCCATGCCAATAGCTCCAACCTTTAGTGTACGCCGACACTACATATTCCTCCCGAGTAGTATGTCTCCTTTCGTATTCACTGAAGTCCGGGACAGCTACAGTTTATTACAAAAATTACCGAATTAGGAGCAGAATTTGTGAGGGAACTCATACAACGATTTCCTTCCTGACTTGCTTACTCATTTACATATCTAGCGAATTTTCACACAAAATATGGTATACACTTAGCATAATAAATTTGCTTTTGTAATTCACCAATACATGCACTTTTTATTTCAACCCTCTTTTTTAATTCCTTTGCATAATTTTTAAGTTTAATATTCAAGGCCAAATACAGTCAGGTTCAATACAGCCATAGAGTGGAAATGGATCATAGATCGGGTATTTACAAGAAACTTATAAAACTGATTGGCGTCTTATTCCCAGAAGGCATTATGCATTCTCAAGAAAAGCAAATGAATTTATAGAATACATGTTGTTGAACATAAACGTTGGGTCAGGTTCAAGACTGATATGCAAGCCAAGGGGGACAGAGATCCAGACGACTATTGGTAACAAGTAACCATTTCGCCATAATCCGTCATGTGGAGTCACAGTGGGAAAGGCGATGGTTGTATTTGCGTGAGAAAAGTAAATGGTAATGACAATGGAAAGGTTCCCGTGGTCATTTAGGAAAGATTAACTGCTGTAAATCACAGTAGTTGTATTCTAAGCCAAGAACTCTAGGCCACTGATAATTTTCTCCCATTTTTGCATCTAGTATCTCAATAGTTTATGGTTTGTTTAGCAGCTTTTACCATCTTCTCAATTTAACTTTCACCTATAAGTAGGCACACTTATCCGAATGACCAGGTTTGATCTCTATGCTGTTTTCAAATACTTACAGTTCGTCTCAATAAAACTGGTTTATATTATTTTTAGGTGGAAGTGAAAAAGTCTCAAAGATTTGTGCAAATAATCTTGAAATTTATCCAATGTGAAAGGACTTTTGCCATAGTTGTTTCATTTGGAAGAAAAAGGCATTATAAAGGCTTTGTAAAACAGCCATTTGTGAGAAATAAGGGGATAAAGGGGGGTTTCATGCCAATAACGGCATCATCAATCGACTTACACATAAAGATGAAATTAGCTGTTACAGTTGCCAAGGTCGATAAAATGAGTTTTGTTTGGTGTAATTTTAATGCACACAAAAGGTTGACTACATTTAGTGGGTGAATTTGGGTTAGCCTACCCAACGACTGTGAACTCTCCTACGTTTTTTTTGGGGAACCACAGAGCCTTAGTAATGTGGTCAATTTATTACGCTAGCGTACAAGTAGGGCCTGTTCAGTGATGTTTTTTCGCTTTTACCCGTTTTTCTGTTACATAGTTCTGAAATAGCTTCCTAAGACCTCCTTGAAGACGCAAGAAGATATAATACTCGGGTAAAATGTATTGTCGGCATGCAATAGGGCATGGGGGTGCTGGCATGGCCCGTAGGCCAGGCCGCCAGGTGTAGGTACAATCGCGGAGCCCCTAAGTGGCTCATCACCAAAACTGAGAGTTATACAATTAAGATATTGCAGCAGTACACGTTTTTTCATGCATATTTTAATCGTGTAATCCTTTGACACATCGACGGTCAGGACTTCGGTAACCTATGTAAACTCTATTGCTTTTGCAGCGTTGCGATATTATTTCTTTACAGCTTCATCTAATTTGCAAATTCATTTTACGAGCCACCTATTTTGTGGAATTGTTTTAAAGGCAACAAAATTTCCAATTTGGTGCCCACTGTATTCATCATATGTGAAGTCATCAATTTAGATTGTGAAATCATTCACATTTAAATTAGATTCATAGTACGGAATAATCATAAATGGAACTTACACCATTGTCGTGTGTATTTTATTTTTCTATTTTTTTAAACGTAATCAAGTAGCCTGACTTATAAAGACCTTATTTTCTCATCAATACCGTCATGTTTTTGAATCGATATGGCACTACTTGGCTGCACTTGATCACACATCGAAATGGCGTTCTCATAAACACCCGGATCACAATAAAAGCTCAACCTGCAAGTAATTTTAACCAAACTGTTATGGCCTTATCAAATATATTAGCTGTCAAATGAACGAATATGGACTCATTCGAATTTGCACCAAATTCTACCAACCATCAATCATCTTTGATCACTAAAGGTCGAATAGGCAATAGTAAAAGTAAACCCTACCTTTCCTCAATTGATCATGGCCCTGGTGGCGCCGCGAGACTTCTCTGATGACGAAAAAATGCAGAATACTCGGGCAGAATATACATATTTATCTGCCATCAGTAGAGCTTGGGGCCAATATCATAGCCAGGAGACCACGTACAATGACGGAACCCCTAAGTGACTCGCAACCAAAACCACGAGTTAAACAAACATGTAATATATTACAGCCTCTTTCGTTTCATTCAGAAAAAAAATGTATTTTATTGCTGGAGCTGTTCATATCTAACCTGAGGGGGTGTAAGATGACATTGTAATTATCATGTCATTCTGGAAGGGGCTTGTGTGGGCATTTGTTGAGAGCAAAACTGAAGAACGAACACTTCATTATACCACGTACAGACGATTTATGGAGTCTGTCTCCAGGATGACTCGGTATGTACCAGTAGTGTAAACTAATTGAATAAAATTCACACCGTGATGCTATGGTTTGTTCTTTGTGCATGTTTATTAAATAACATTAGTAATGTAATCAAAGCAGCATTGTAGTTTTTGTGAATCATAACTAATCTCGAAGCGGATTGTTCTTAGCTGGATAGACGTGAATATCTAAACTATGTGTACGTGAAACAAAAGATTTAATATTTATCATTTATAGGACAAGACTTATTAAAAAGGCAATGGTACTTGGACAAGGCGCAAACACCAAAGGCTAGAAAGTAAACAACTCATGGGTAGCGGCTAAATCTTGATAGGGAGAAAGAACGCTCATTCAGTTCAATAAGACATTCTATTAATTTAACTACTGACCTACCTTTGTTAGCATTATACAGATGATTCTTAATCGTAAATTTACGTTTTTGCCTCTAGATATGCTGCCAAAGAATGATTACGCCGATAAATTTACTTACTTAAGAGATCTGATCTCTGTGGTGCTCAACCTCTTTAAGTTGAATGGTTTTGTTTTGATGTGGAGTGCGAATCCATATACTTTTCGTGATAGCTTTAAGTTATGGTTATATTCTGGAAGTTTTCTTCTAGCTAAAGCAGTAGTTATTTAAGGCTTTATCACCTTTCTCAAAGCCTATAGACTTCTTAGAAATTGTGCAACCGACTAGCACTAGGAGCGCCTAATCTTGGGGTTCTATTAAAGGGCAATATACCCGGTACAAATAAAGAAATCTACTTAAAATATTTTTCATGACATAAAGGATTCTTCCTTTAACAACACTGTCTTGTAGCCACTGGATTTTACATCCCCAGATGGCTAATTCTTTATCATCAAAGTCTGGTGATTGTAGAAATGAAAGTGGGGTTGGATAATTGGCCCCATTTTTAGAGGCTCTTGGGTTACCTCATCTTTTAAGAACTGAGAAACGGTTGGATAACATCGTAGACAGCACTTTCTGTCACTTTTGATTTTGCACATTTGAAAATCATAAAATCTTTGATTTACTTCCACACTAACGATTATAATAAATCGGTAGCGAGAAAGGCGGGTACAAATTAATCCTATTCCTATTTATTTTGTTGCTTTAATGCCTTGACTCGTAATTTCAACTAGAATCCTAACTCGTGGGCAAGGGTTTTCCCTTTTATCATATTTTGAGCAGGTCAGCTTTGGCATCAGGTGGCATAAGATCAATGCCAAAGGTGTGTTTAGTCAACCTCTACATTGATGAGTGTGAGAGCAACGCGCTGTTTCCACCACTTTTAAGGCTAATCACGCGACCTCTTCTGGCACAGCGATGGCATCCACCCATTTACATTGCCCTCCAAAGTACCACATCTCGCACCTCTTCACAGTAAGCTTCGTTATAAACAATCAGCGTGAAGTAAAAGACCTCTCGTCTTTCGCATAACCTTGCCGGCCAGCTTAATTGCACGAGTGACGAGTTAACCCTCACTAGACTCAGGATGGGTAGACTGATTCAAATAAAGTAAGGTAGTGTTTAAACACAAAAGTCATTACCAAACCCGAAGAATACGGTCATAAAGATGAAAGAGAAGGAAAAAAGAGTCAGAGATCGACCTTTACAAACGATCACACAACGCGGGTAGGGGTTTTGCGTGTGAGTTCCTCTGTGTAGCAAAACCACTGCTTCTTTTACATTGTCTTTGTGTTTTTCTGCGTAAATACGTTTATTTGTTTGCTTGTGCAGTGTCATTCTTGAGGTTAGGATCACTCAGTAGGACCAGTCTCTTCACTACTCAGTTTCTCGCGCAGCAACATAGGTTCACGTTCACTCCAATCACTCGGCACGTCGTAGTCCGTGTTCAAACTGTCCGCCAACTTGGTCGGTAGCCGCGACTGTTGATCCTTGTCCGCGCCAGGCATCGATTGGAGCCACATTTGTACTTCCGCTGCACTTTTGCCTGTAGTCTCGTTTGCTACAGCTGCAGTAAAAAGTTGGAAATTGGTTATTGTACTATCCGATCGAACGCAAGAACCCTTTTGACTGGTCGGACTTCTGTCCTTTCTATACCATGTAGACTGAATTAATACTTGACGCCCTGTTAACTTCAATGGAAGAAGTTATTAAAGGCGGATTACTTTGATTGGATGAAATTATATTCTCTAAGCGCCCAGAAAAAGAATGTTTACTGAATTCGGAAAGTATGGTAACCTAACTTTCAGCAGGATTAAAAATGGATGGTTCAAAGTGGCCCAACCAATTGATGACAGTAGATCAATGTCTGATCCAACTTTTGGGACACATTGATGAATTAGTGAAATTCGTAGTTAACCAGCCATTGAAACTGGCTGATTTGCCTACACTAGATCTTAAACCATCTGACCAAATATCATGACTTTCGGACAAAAAATTTAAACTTCAAGAAGAGTAAAACTGAAAAATTTATCCAAAAGGGTAAGAAACGGGTTTTAGTCCATTCTCTCCCGCCTCCGTTGCTGTTGGTTGGTGAAAATATGTCATCATACAGGCTATTGCATTATCCTTTGTAATTTTCAGAAACTGTTAGGAAAAAGTAGTTTGCCACTAGACTGAACGATGAATGCTCTTAATTTGTACGGTCTGCATTCTTGATGCTACCTAATGAAGTTTATGATGGATAGAAAATGGAGTTGAAGCGTCATTTACTGTAAAACGGTTACCTTGTACAATGAGGGGCACGGTCCAAATTCATCTTTTCGTATAGAAAATATTATTCTTCTTCTAAAAGTTAGTAACGCAATTAGCATTTATCCTTGTCACTTAAATCTAGTAATTAGCAAACGTCGAAAAGATGAAATGAGGCCTGCATTGTTACAGTGTATTGTTGTGACTGAAGAGTTAACAAGACAGTGCATTCAAAGCTGCACCATTTTTTGGAGAGAGCAGTGGAACTGCATTAAGAAGTCGAAGATTGAAGGACATGATGAAAACAGAAAACTTTACATCCAACTTTCTCGTATTAATGTCGATTGCCAGTAGTAGTAATAGAAAAAGTAGCATAAACTTCAAAATACCACAAAAAGCTTTATAAAGTGGTATTTATATGTGATGGACCCGATTCAATTTTTGGAAGCCTTAAATAACAGCCACCAGATAAAATTTCGACGAAAGTGCATTTCTAAACGGCTTTCTAAGATAAAACGCCTTCTTTATTGTGAAAATGCGTGCGATAAAGCATCGGTTAGGAGGAATAATTTCTCACTCTCACCTCATCATTTAGTGCCAAATGGTGGTGGGGCGGCTGCTTCAAATGCCATCTACCCAATTCATAAAGCACTAAAAGAGCTAGTTTCGCGTGCATGTATCACAAGAAAAGTGGAGTGATTCTTTGACATATTTCTACTTGCTAGGCAACGCTTTCATCAGCATTTTAGTTAGTAGTTGTGTGCTTTAGTCCAACTATTTGAGTTTGATTTTGTGCAACGACAGAATCACCGTGGGATTTTATTGTATCTATTATCAAATTAAATAAGAATAACGCAACGATGCAGCATGGCGTTAAAATCTCAAGATGATTATAAAGCTCATTCTTCTCTCTTTTTCAGTGAAGCCTCGGAGCCCTACATTAATGGTAACGGAAAGTGAACTTGATCTTAAAGTACATCTGTCTTGATTTCTACTGCCAGGTGATAAACCTTAGCGGGGCAGACCAAGTTCATATGCCATGGATGGAAGGATAGGTTATGACCCATAACAGAAGGGCTGAAAATAGCGCGTAGTTTCGGCAACTATCCTAGACTTGTGGCCTTCGGGAAAGCTATTAACGACGGGAACGAAACCAGCCGTGAACAATCCGGAAAAGTTTATTACAGAGCCGCTTACCGTACCTGTATGAAGATACCAATTATGTGAACTCGTGATATCTACCTCACTTCTCTGCCAACTGGAGAGAACTCAGATAGATATGGCTGGGCAGCCCTGAAGTGAGATCACTGTGACGAGGAGGAAAAGGCTCGACATCCCACCTTCATGGAAAGATGTTAAACCCCGTCCCTTGTTACGTGACTCTGCTTTTTGGCCAGTATTACCACCACTAGCTATGGGCACACATAATGGCCGGTACATTTTTTGTCCCCTCATCCAGTTTCCATACAGGACGAGACACTAGATCTGGTAGAATCGCCAGGAGGGATCGGTGACGTTGCGGTCAAGTATCTCCTCAGTTGCGTGAAAAGTTGATGACTGACGTGGAATGCTCGAATTTCTTCTTTTCATTGGGATTTTTATCTATTTGCTAAAGAAGTCGCCTTTTTTCTGAATTCTAGGTGCTAACGGCAAACCATTGACCAGTAGTTTGGTAAACTTAATACACATTTTAAATCTAATCGGCGAGGACATGAAAATTGAAATTTTAGATTTACAAGCAACGAGGACCATCAAGAATTCTAGCTTAATTGATTATTAAATGCTCAAATTCACACCGCATAATTTTGTTTTCAAGTCTAAATATACCTTGTTGGCATACTTTTACACTCACAGCACATGATGGTGAAATGCGTAGTGAAGGTAGCAGCCATTCCAGTCGTTTCTTCATTATGGCAAAGAGTGTGTTTAATCACCTTATGAATTTTTAACGCATTATTTATAGTTTTGTCGGAATCAAATCCAGCAATATTTATTTCGCACTTCGGGGTCTCATTTACCTTATGTGAGAATTTTTTGGTGGTTATACAAATTCAAAAATATGGAACAGTTTGATGACAGTGCCAAACGCACATATTTGATACCTCATAGCTTATCACCACTACCTCGCCTATCACCGTAGTTTTAGTTGATGGTCATATTAACATTTGTTACTTAAGAAATGGATTTGTTCGCACCGGATCCGTAGGGGTTGGCTCATCTTACATCCAGTGGGTTAGTATCACTGCCTTAGTTTAAAATTAATGAGTTTAACCAAGTTTACAGGTTAGACAACTACTTTACTTACCCACTTCCTCCAAAGCGGCCTCAGGAGTCACTGTTTGTGATTTCACCACCAGATCCGCGTTCAAAAGGGGTGCAGTAGACCGTTCAGTGGAACTCGAAGGAGGCGGGATCACGCCGTATTGGTGACTGAGCACAGTTGCAGGTAGGAGGACTGTCATTCCGGGTTTGGGCGATCCACTACCACCTCCTGCACTGGCACCATCCCCCGCTCCTGGTTTTTCGATCAGACTCACATCGGCGGGACTGCATAACGGAGCGCCGTAGGCAGAAACTGACGCTAGCTGCGGCTGTGAGGCTCGTACACCACCTCCAGGACCTAGAACGACCGGTATGTAGTGATGCTGGTGGTGAGGGGTCGGTTCGAATCCAATCTCGGATATTGGCCGCTCTGAAAAGACTGTTTCTCTTGAGGTGGCTCTCTTCACTCCGACGTAGTAGGAGGGCATAAACTGGTGTCTTAAACGGTGGGTATGTTGCCTGGGGCGGGGGGTGACTGGTCCAGACCAACCCAGTGGTTCGAAGCTTATTGGGTAGGCGGAGGGATTAGAGAGTATTTGAATCGGTTGTGGTGCACCGGCGTGGGCAATCGAGAAACCCGAGTCCGAGTTACGGCCGGCTGAATTGCTCATAGTGCTACCATTGGCCGCTTTTCCCTCGGGGTGGGTACGCGCTGCGTCAGCGCTCTCAAAGGGATTCCAGTGTGGGGAATTCTCTACTAGTGATTCGTCGGGAATAGTGACAGACCGGTGGAAAGCTGAGCTGGGTGTCATTTGCTGTGCCAGTGCAACGGGTGGTAGGACTCTGGGATCTGCGGGGTACCACGCAACAGTGGGGATGACTCCGGTCGGTCTAAGATCATTCTGACCACCGAACGTAGCAGTTCCTTTTAGTTTTCTTCTATCTATATAAACAAAGAATTGGTGCACAAGATAATAATTAACAGGCATTCCATTCTTAGTGTAGAAGCTCAACCAAGGGCATAAAAACAGTTTCGTAAGTAGTATCCTAATTGCTCATCACTGCTTCAGTATTTCATGGAGAAAGAGTCGAGTATTCTAGCAATAGCCAACGTTCACAACCCCTTCAGTGGGTATAAGTGAGATTTATGCTTTGTTGCAGGAATGAAGCTGAATTTGTGAATAGCACACAAATTTGGAAAGTGAAGTTTCATCACCTATGAGGGAACGCAGGTGGCAAGTCAATGATTATTTCCACATACAGGACATCAAGTACCTTGACCTTCTACGACTCAGTAATAACTTAAAATGCATTCGCCTTTCGCATATGAATTGTCCAAGCGCTCTGGAGTTCAGGACTGGCGAATTGATAACACTATATAAAAGTCATTTTGAACTAACTTCATAGCAGACATTCCAAATTCAGTTGAGCCTCTTAGAAACACAAAGCTTGTCACTGAGTCCACAATATTGCAGCTTATACACTAATTATGGAAGACTCGAATCATTTGTTCCAAGCTGCTAATTCTCTGTTCCCTTTGGAATAGCACGCCAAGGATGGTCCTAAATTCGTTTTTCTTATTGACAGGGTCGGTACCAGCGTCGTGTATGCGTTACATAGGTTCCTTATAAGTTTATAGCGGCTAATAATAACAAATCGCTCCACGTGTAGATTATTTAGTTGAGATTAATATAGCAGATGTAGGATCTTCTTCATCCGAGGTGGATTATTATGTTTTTTTAGTTTTTTGAGAAGCGGCCTCGCGTAAAACGATGGTATATTAGAACAGTCTAAATCGTTTATTGGTAACCTTTTACCTATATGACCCAGGCAACAAAAGGGCTAAATACTTGAGACTAACTCGGACATCTTGTAATTACCTAATGAAGCGGTTCACATAGGACATTAATGTTTCCATTTACTGACGGAGTTCTGCCACCTCCCGAGGAAGAGAGGGGTGAGAGCAACCAGATGTGAAAGTGTTGACCAGGCCGAATGCTACAGCATCGTGCATCGAAAAGTATTTTACTGTTTTGTGTTTGAATGTGGTGCTTTTTCTCCGTATTCCTTACAATCATATCACCCCTTCCTTACACGACCATTATGACAGGAATGGGCGAAAAATTCTGACTTTTTAGAAACGTACTCTATGTGCGAAGCTACGATGAAGAAACGTCGCATGTCATTGCAAAACAGCTGAAATCTTAAGTTAGCATAATGCTTTACTAGGAGCATGCCTGTTTCCTTGGCCTGAGGTGAAAAGCCGGAGTAGTTTTATAAAAACGATACAAATGTGAAAGAGACGGACTAGACATTGTTTGGAAATGCCTTTATTTTAGCGCCTGATTATAAGCATTGGCATGCACATATGCACCCGCCAAGGCGGAATTGATTGAATCAAGTCGCGCTCAGAGAATGAAGACATGAAAATGTTTACCCACCCTGGCAGATGATCTTTCAACATCTATTTTCGCTCGACTGGTGCACGTATCCATATTATCTTGTTTATTTTTCGTGCAGAGGTTAAAACATCGCCTAACAAGAAGCAGATTGTTTTTTCCTCCTAGTTGCTCCATCAGTCGGTTTGTTGGATTACACAACAATCGGCTTCTGTTTTGCAATTCATTTTACAAATGGGCTAAATATCAACAGGTTACTGAATCACTTTACACATTCTGGTAGGTATAAATCATCTCATTTCAAAGGAGACCAGTTACTGTCAAAGTGAGTCAGAAAACGCAGGAAAGAGTAAACTTACCTCCGTGATGCCGTTTGACAAGCCATTTGACGCAGCAGAAGCAGTTAATTAGCATGGATAGGGCGAGGGCTACAAAGGCAGTGATGATAATCATTTCTGGTGTCCAGAAGCCCCCTGGAAAAAGAATGGGGGTGAGTAAGCACCATTATTTGCAAAAGGTCTCTTTTCTTTTTTCTACCTAAAAAAATATGCCCTTTCCCAGAAGAGAAGAAATGAACCCGGGTGATAGGGAAACCGGCTTGTTGATTTGTCACGAGTTGAGCCACTGCTATTGCCCATTTAGCCACTTAAGTCAAGCGCCGGTAACAGAAGGGTATTCTTTTCAGTAGTACGCATTTCCATCATCGCTATTCCGACTGCCCGTTGGTGGCATAGTGACCTGATCATACTACTAGTCCTCCAGGTTTCTGGTAGGTCAATAATCAACCCCCTTACAGACTTGTATACCTTAAAACTTTCGCTAGCATCAGCGCTAGTCTCCAGGTAGGGTATCAGAGTCTAAAAAGGGGTTCAGTCGTCGTATAAACAGCTCTAGTGACCTCCCACGGGAAGCTACGCTGATTGAAGTCCCGTTCAACCCTACGTGCGCTGAGTCACTGGGCGGCTGCGGTGGTGACGTTTCTGACAAACACGTACTCTAGTGAGGGAGTGCCGTGTGAACGAGGGGAGGTGGTGGTGGTGGCGACGGAGAGGGCGCAAGTGGCAACTACTTTCCTGTGCCCACGTCAGCGCAAGACCTGTGAGTGTATGCACACAATCGCTCACGCAAGTGTCACATTGGCGTCAGTTCGGGTGAAAACACAAACAATAACGTGACTGATGGGACTTGAAAGTGAAATGGTGGCCACTGCGCCCTTTCTCAGGTACCTTAACTTCTCTGCAGTCGCGTTTGGGCACCGAGATTCTATGCAATGTCACCGGAGGAGAAGATGGTCATTTAATGCTTTGTGGAGATGATTTGAATTTTTACCTCAATTTGTAATCGTTCTGACTACCCAAAAAATTGCGTGGCATTGAAGAAAGAAGGATTTCTCTTCCACATTGACTGAGTAACAAGTTGGGTGCAAAAGCAACTTATCCATAATGTTCAGCACTAATATTCTTCAGACTTTAATGCTGTCGGTTTTTTTACCTCACAGGGGATTCCTTACGAGATTAAATTCAATTTATTGGGTTGATCTGATAGGAAATCTGGGTAAAACCGACGTTATGGTGTTGCCGACACGGAGACCCTTCATGAATGGTTCATCAGGGTTTAGTAGTTGAATCAAAATCCAATCCAACCTTTTCGTAAATCCACACGCAATTTTTTGGGATTTCACAGCTAAATAAGACTGCTACTATGTTTTCAAGTTTGAACCAGTCTATATCCACATTTTGATTTGCTCTGCTTGTTGTTATACATGGGTGCTTAAAATTTCAAGGAAACAGATTGTGCACACAAAAAAACATGTTGGTAGAATGAACTGGTTTAAAAAAGGTAAATGCAAGAAATAAAGTCTACGATTTCAATACACTGAAATATTTTGATTTCGGTGTTTGTAAGGAACAGGTATTGTCGCGAAATGCGCAGAAATTTTGAGGTAACATTTGAAAAGCTTATTCATTCGTAATTTCTGGCAAAATTGAAAGCAGTCAAGTAATTTTAATCTTTTCTTTAATGAAAACCAAAAAATCCATCATATGTAATGCCCTTTAGTCCCATGACAATCTTCCATTCTCGAATATGCAAAGCGAAAAACCTTAAGCAAAATATCAATCCAAACTATTATCGCCAAAATCAGGATTTAAATGGTGCCAATCACCCCAAATAAATGACTTTTACGATCTTAAGAAATCCTATTTATGAATTTGAGTGACAAGGTATAAGTGATTATGGCCCATAAAGACGAGTTTCCCTAGCATTAGCTGACAAAATGGCCTAAATAGCATTGACAGCCGGCTTTAAGATGATTGTCTTTATTTGGCTCTTAAATTCAAAATCTTGTTGTAAGGTTTATTTATTAACCTATACCAACAACATGTGTGAATTATGGAGGCACCTGTTGTGTGTACAGTGCACATTTGCGTGTGTACGTCTGTGGCCATTGGAGTAACGACCGCGACGGCCATTAATCGTAGGTAAACTTCTAATTAACAATCGTCAAGTTGCAATTAGTGAATGTGTAAAGTGTAAGGTCAGCCAACCCTAGCTTACCTGCCTGCAACTGCTCACTGCTGTCAAAATGCTGCAGAGAGCGGAGACATGAGGGGAAGAAGCATATTAATCAGACTTCTGGTGCCTTGCAGGAGACAGGAAGGGGAGCTTCACCAGCCAACTTTCCTCACTCCACTGCAAGCTGATGCCAATGAAAGTGCGTTCTTTAGACTGAGACCCAAGCTAACGCCATCATAATCACCCTTACCAGTGACTCAGAAGCCTGCCTTCCAGTTTGCCTCCCAACCCGGTACTTTCGCAGGGTGCCGCAATAATTACTAAATTTCCGTCTGCATTCGGAGGCTAAAAAGGGGGCTTCGCATTTGGAGGATCTCAAAGGGGCGATGAAAAGGCAAAACCTTGAAACTGTGGGCAATTGCGTAGAAATTACAGAATTCGCGGTCCAGACCTATGTCAAATTTGCTCGTGGCATGGGAAATGGCTGGTGAATGGCCTATAACTTCGAAGTAAAAAATAACAGGATGAAGGAGCTCCTGTCTGCGCAGCTGCTTATGGATGGCTGTTTATTGAAATGCCCATTAGAAAAGAGTTATTACAAATGGTATGGCCGCTATTGTGCAAGAATATATGCTCTATAACAGACTAGCTATTACTTCTGTTTGTTGTAACTTCAAACATTGAAAACCAACGCTGGGTAAGTTGCCAAAATTTAGACAACATTCTTCATATATGTGAACTTCTACAAGTTATAGGCAATCGTTGGCACATTTCACATCATAGGACAAAGTATTCGAAAACTGGAAACTGATACCAGATTGTTCTGCTTGTTACAACTCCAATAAACCGGCAGCAATAAACTAGGTTACAAAACAATCTGACAGTACAAAACTAGGTGAAAACAGTTCTTCTAAAACCCTCTAAGGAGGTCATTGTAATGCGTTGGTTGTTCAAATCCCGGTTTTAGTAAAGGGGTCACATACATGTTCCGCCATTGCACCTTCGCCGGGTGGGCTGGTCCCCGGGCAAATCTATACGTACTATATGTCAACAATACTTATTCTACCTGACTATTATGTCTTCTTTCTTCTTCAGAGTAGTCTCAGGCTGCTACAGTCATCATGGTCACAAACAGTGGGGGCATCGTCAGGAATGGTTCAACTAATAATCAGAAACAAATTTCTCTATCGTGAAGCCTATCTTTTTATTTGGCAATGAACCATCGAAATATTGTCTTCATTAGAACCACTATGGAACTCGACAAGGCTTATTGTATATGGTATTTTCCCATCCAAAGCAGAGACCATTGAGCAAAATAAATCATCTAGAAAAGAGTCAATGAATCAAGTAAGGTAAATACTTGGGCACCAGCTTAAAAATATGGAAAACTGAGCATGCTGTGGGGCACATTACTATCATAATGGAATCACAAAGTTGATCCTATTGTATGTATAGGCCCTTGATCAAATACATGGCCAAGGCGAAGGGACCTCAATTTCAATCCACTAAAATAAAAGAGCCTCCAAAAAGAACTTTCTCTTAAATAAACATTGTAAATGGTGAAAAATTTGAAAGCATAATTCCATTCCCACGTATATATAACGAAAACGTTGCTGATCATTTCTGATCTTAATAATTAGAAAGCAGCTACTCCAAGTAAACATCACAGGCAAAAATTTTGAGAAAGAATGGAAGATTAAAGTAAGTCACAGAACTCAAAAGAATCCTTATTTAAGGGACAAATTTTATTTTTATGGACCAGTTCTTATTATATTGTCCCCTTCAACACACATTAAAAGTATTATGACTGGTGATGGTTGTCATTCTGAGGGTTTCTCCCATGCCTAGCTCAATTCCACCGTCAGTGGTTATGGCTCAGATGGTTCTTTACACCATCGAGAAAAAATTCTACGCTGTCATCGCCTTTGTCAATCAAGCAGCCAGCTACCGTGGGAGTTATTATTGTCAGTTGCGCTTACCAACTCGTCCAAATGATGGGGTGTGGCGCTTGAGAATTGACTTTTGCAACATGAAAGTGCTATACCAAAGGAGTTAACCTTCATCCATCCACCTATCAATCCATGCTTATTTGAAAAAGTCTCCTGACACTAAATAATGCGATGATATGCGGGGTGTTTGGCTCCACTAGCCAACTTGAGATCACGTCAGCTTTTGTGCAGAGGATAGGAGCAAATGAAGCTGTCTATTGTGCTGGCTTTATTACGCAATCAAACGCAAGCATTGAAATCATGGGAGAAGGTGTTTTGGCAGTCGACAATGTTTTCATTCAGTCATCGTCAAAAATGGAGGCACTAGTCTTAGCTTTAGGTCTACGTATTAAGAGAAATAAGGCAAGATGACCCCAAAAGACGCCTGGTGGTGAGGTGAAAATGAACTTTATCATCGATCACTGTCTCACCACTCAAGTAAAAATGGCAAAATTTTCTAACTATACACGGAGCAGACTTTGCTTTAGTTCATTTCTACAGCCTGTTTGCAGAAAGAGTTTATGCACAGTTCACTAATGTGTTCAAATTTGGCAGAATTCGGTCATCGGAAAATAAACAAGGCTGGTTTTCTTAGACTGACAAAACACCGGATTATGGTGACTTATATAACTACATTCAATTCCCATGGATCTAACCATGGGAATGAGGATGGTTTGGGTTGCGGAATACGTCATAGATATTTATTCGCTATGAAAACGCAGGCAACACCGATTCTTCAACTGAGAACCAAGGTAACAGTAAATGGGATATGTCATTCTGATTAATACCAATGAAACATCGATTGTGATATCATATATCTTATTGCACTCCAATCAGAACTCAAAATGCTTCATGCTAGTGGTGAAATGCCAAACTAATTACATTGCGCCATGAAGGGACCGAATTCGAAATAAGGTAAATTTCACTGACAAATCAGCTGCCATAAAATCAACCCGGAACATTGAACTCACTTTGGTTGTTAACATTTTAAAAACGATGGGAAAGCGGCCTCACAAGTACCTGAGGAAGAAGTTCGTAGAAAGTTTAACCAGTGTGCACTGTCATCACCCCTGTTCGATGAAGCGATAATTAAAGCTTGCGTTTCATTTGTGGTTGTCCCATGATTCACAGTTGTTCTTCTTGGTGAGGGTGTCGTAGTTGTTGTCGTGGTGGCTGTGGTGGTCGTAGAAGTGGTAGTGGTTCTCGGTGGTGGAGGTGGGGCCACTTTATTTCCCTCCGCCTCGGGCGGCGCTTTAGCTTTCTCTCTCAACCTTGTCCAGTTCGTTTTACCCGCCGCGCTGTGACAAGCAAAACCCGGATGATGCCAGTCCACCCATTCGGGTGTCACATGCTTCAGTGTGTACTCATACACAATCTCTCCACTGGCATGGATGATGCTCCTGCACGCCACTCCTTCCAGTGAGGGAATAATTCGGCAGCTGCCCTTGCCGTTGCACACCTCCTGCGGTCGACAATTCTGAAAGCAAAAGGTGTCCCTAGGGACAGCAGGGCAGTAGAGACTCATGCTGCTTTGTGCCATGAGAGCACCAGTCTCGGAATTGGAATTGATATGGCACCGAATGATTACACTGTCGCCGAGAGCGACACTCTCTGAGGAAAGAAAAAGGGAAAGGGGAGGAGGAAGGGTGTAGGTTATCTTTGAGGGGAGAGAGAGAACCCCTAATGGGTACTGAATAAGAAGGAGGAGTGGGAGGAGTTGTACTGACGATAGTACTGTGGATGCTGAAGTTGCTGATCGCCGCCACATGGCTCTTGTACGCGTACTATTACTGTTATCGTTGTCCGTAGATTTGTTCAAATTCTGAAATGCTTGTGCGTACGTGTGCGTGCGTGCGGTATGTAATGCCCAGGTTAATGTAAGCTCCTGTGATTGCCCATCGCCCGGTCCCCGCTGCAGCGGCCTCACGACCCCGGTGTGTCAGTCTATGTGTTTATACACGCACTGGTCGGCGAAACTATGCCTACCTGCTTGCCGCCCCCTTAGCCCTGTCTTGTGCATGCGTATGTGCTTCTACATTAGTGAGTGTGTTGCGTGTTTATTGGCTTGCGGTTATGGTTAGCGCCCGCTGATTGGTTGTGTGCTAAATTTGCACACACACATACGCACACTCACTGAAGTTACTTGTGCTCCTGCCTTTTCATCACTGTCGAATAGCCGGAGTCCCAGGCGCTAGCGGATCCATGCGCATGGTATCGAAGGCCACTGATATCGAGCACTTGAACTTTGGTTATGAACAGACAGTTTAGTCTTGCTTCTTCATCGAACCGACTTTGATGGATCGCTTGTTGAAGGATACAAAAGCACTCATAAGAATAATTTAATTCATTAAGATTTTTTCCCCTTAATCCAAAAAATCATTTTTTTTTATTAATTTACTTGTATGTGTCTGAGGGTGTGATGCCTCTCTAATTCTTACATAGAGACATCAATTTACCATCGTGTTGCCATTGTTGCATCACCTTATTGCTGCATGCAGCTTTTTTCTGCATTAGCCTTTAAGCTCCACAACTACTTCTTGAATTTATAAAAGGAATTTAACCACACAGTTTGGGAGAATGATAACTTATTGGTGCATTAAACTGTTTGCGGCTGTAATTGGGTTTATTTCGAAATATAACCTATAGCACACCACCAGTGTCACGCCGCCACAATACACTTACCTATGTGTTTCCTTTTTATGGTGCCTCGGACGTCAAAACTACGCCTAACAAACATTTTTGGGGATTCAGTTCTCGCGTCACTCGTCGTCGGACCACCAACAGCATCATCGTGATGTGCATAGTAGACCACGCCTTGTCTAGGAAGGTTGATTACAGGACAAAAGCCGAGATTAATGTTTGTGGACGCTTTTGGCGGTTTTTTATAATTATGAATGCACCCAAACATGCATGGATTAAACGATTGGGGTTAGAAAACCATCCATTTGTCAAAGTTGAGCCTTCATCAGTAAATACTGTGTGACGGTTGGTGGGTATGCTTGAAATGAACACCCAAATTAATACCCTAACCGAATCGTTGTATTAAAGTAACATATTTATTAGATAATGAGGTCCATAACTTGTGCTACTGCGGCGACCGGAGGCTCCCCTGGAGACTAAAGAAAGCACATCGCCCAGACACAATATACATCGGCAACGTACAGAAGGGCTTAAGTGGGACTGGCATGGCCCGGCAGAGGTACACTGACGGGCCCCCAAGTGGTCGTTACCAAAACTGTGAGTTAAACATACAATTAAATGATTGTACTACTACCAACTTAGGGAACATCTACTTTTATATTCAGCACGTATCAGCAAGTTCTGACAGAATGCATAATTCAGTTGACTGTTTTAAACATTGAAATCTAAATTAAACACTAAACAAATTCATGTGGGGATTTGTTTCACAGAAACAAATAACCAACATCCTTTAATCGTCACTACTGTCTCTGGTTCAAATGGACTTTAAAATACTTTGATGAATATGCATGTTTGTTTATGAAAAAATGATTATTTTACAGAGCTTGATAGTGGATAAATAAACAATTGAATTAAAATCCACTATTTTCTAGGGTTAGTCACTTGACCTCGCGCATGTGCGTGCATGGATGTTTTCGTGCCTGTCAGAAATGTTCTACGGCACCTGTCGGACGATTGGCCGGTTGCACTGAAGGGGTATTAAATTTGCTTCACTTTATTTCACGCATCCTTTCATGATTTCGTGCATAAAATGATATTTTTTAGTTAGGTTTGCCATCAAATAAATGAACCGCTTAACAGCTATTCGAGTGTTTGAAGAGAAGGAAGAGCATTTGAATAGTCTTAAAGTCTCACAGTACTACTTCAAGTACAGGATTTGGCTTGGCATTACCCTTTAATCTATACTTTGATTAGTTATGATAAGTCAAAAGTGAGATTAATTTGCCTTTTTCCTTTTTAATCGAAAAGTAAGCCTCATTATGAGGGACAAAAACATTGGGTAAGGGTAAATGGGGCACAAATGTAAACAATTGAAAACAATCCATCGCGGCGGATGCATAATGTAGTTGTAGAGGTTATATGATCACCACAGCGGACTTTATCACATGAATTAATATAGGCAAAATTGTCTCTACTGTGTTTTTCTTTTTTTTTTAGTTCCGAGAAGAGAAGGGGTATGTTTGTTGGCGTTTGCTGCAGTAACTGGATAAAGTTGCGCCACATGAAAAAGCGCAGACGAAAAGGAAGTTTTCAATTATATCAAGCCCTCGTTGTCCCCCCGATGACGTTTCAGTTTCCATCCGGTATTGCATCTTGAAATTGACTGAGTCGATCTGGTTAGTCATCTGCGCTGGCTGGGTTCTTAAACTATTAATGACTACATCCCAACTTCACTGTCAATGCTTTTAGGAGCTAAACGCAGAAGTTAAGCTATCTCCATCCACCATATTCGTATAATTCTTTACTTGAGACCAGTCTCTACATCGTTAAAAAGCAGCAAAAAGACCTCATGCAATTTCCTCGACTACAGACTTTTGCCTTGACTGGTATATACTAGTTTCTGCGAGAACAGTGCAACTGTTTAATCGACAATTTCGTTAGAACTAGTTACACCACGTGATAGTCGGGGAAGATTCATTTCCCTGTTAGAAAATTCCCATCCACTGGCTCGTCATGACTGAGACAAATACAGAAGGAAAAAATAACCATCGGTAACCGGTTGTAAGAAACCTGACTGCGCTAGGCATCACTTCTTGATTTTGTGTGTCTGTAGCCTCACAACGTGCCTGAATATTTTCCTTCATCCCCTATTTGGCGAGAGTCTCAGACGAACCACAGCTTATCCATTCTCTAGCTGTTTAACCCCTTTTCACCGTATGATCCTAAACATTGCCAAGAGTTTGGTTATAGTGAGTGGAGTTTGGATAATCTTATCAAGTCAGCCATATAGACGGTTTCAAATCGTCCCCGTGAAATTACTATATCCTGTCTATTTTCCAACAGTCTGAAGATACAGTCATTTACGGTAATTATACTGACCCTTAGACTGAATGTCAGCGATGCGAATCAAGACCTCACAAGTGCGCATACACACGCACATTCCGGCGTCGAAGTTTGTTTTTCGTGTAACCTTCTACCGGGCGAAATGCCAGGCAGGATGGGCAGAGCTGCGAACCATTGTTGTACTCTAAACCTACTACTAATGAGGTTACATATGTAATATTCAGGCAAAAAATGCCAACCAGAGCTATCTTTAGGGCTACGGTTTCGGTGTCGATGATTAAAGACCATAGTTGAAAGGTGCTGAAGTACAAAAAATGACCACACGAAATGAAATAACCGCAATACTGAAAGTTTAAAGCACAAATTGGTTAAAATCTACCTTAACTTTTTAACCCCCTCTTTCAATAGGTTCTTTCTGAAGCAGGAATGAGAAATTGCAGCGTCCAAGTTATCCTGGAAGGCAATTGTCAGCTATGTGGATGTAAAGGAAGCCTTATAATTAGAGTAAGAGAAGACTGAGCGTCCTATCCAGGTAATGAACGCAGCCCATGCCACCAAAAGGGAGGTTGGATTGTGGAAGGCTTGATAGCTACTTGGAGAAAAGAAATCATTTTAAATCATTTTAAATTAAAAAAAGATGAATAAATTTGTTAGCGTGGTTTATTTTTCTTTTTCATTTTATGAATGAATAAAAGCTGGTCAGGTCTTCCTTTGCATCCAATTTATCGGGATGCAAAATAGAGAGTGAGATAAACCTTGATAAAATCGTAACTATTCTTGGTTATCTGCAAGTCCGGTCAAGAGCTTTCTAGCAGTTGAGACCTATTTTCCAATTGAGAATTTGCTAAAAAGCATCACATTGGTTTCGAACACTTCTGCCAATACAACTTGTTTCGAGACTATGACAATCTACACTACAATATGTTTAAATTTATTCGAGATATAATCCCTAATTCACCAAATAGTGAGCCACAATATACTGCCTGTAGCAGGACTGTCTTTGAAATACCGCAAATTTTCCCCACCCTCTTGAATGTAAGCAGGTGATGATGACGTTAGTAGTGCCGTGCATGGCGCGGCTCTATCCACAAAAAAGATAGTTGGGGTCGACTAAATCACCTGAAAGTTGACTTGGGCAGCTCTTTGCACACTTCACCCGATTACACAACCCCACTTTAGTGATGAAGGCAAAGTTTGCAGTTTGAAGACTTCACGACTCAAGTGGGGCAAAGTAGTCGCGATTTGATTTTCTCCCTCTGGTAGTGGTGCTAGTGCATAAATAGGTAGCATAAAAAGGCATCGGACTGGTAGGGAATCCACCTAATAGTCGTGGCCTGAAAATCTGTCCAGAGTGGGCTGAAAGTTAACTCGTGCTAATCAACTGTGATTACTTCGGTCTTAGTTTAATGAACTTCATCGTCTGAAACGTAGAAAAAACTGAGGAGGAGAAGTATATGTTGGCTGTATTCATGGAACTGCTCACTTGTACGGAGAAACACTAGTAACTGCCGTTAAGTCTAACATTTCATTTAATTTCAGTAACGGGAGAAGGACAGATATCCCTTAAAAATAGACCATCATGAGACCATGGATGGCAGTATAGATACCTAAAGTGATCGCAAGGAATACTTGAGCAAGTGATTGATTTGAACGTGCTAATTAAAATGTATGCAAATTTCATTCGTGTACCTCTCCCTTGTTGAAATATAATTCGTCGAATCTCAATAAAATGCCTCTAAAGGCTTTTCATGACTCGAAGTGGAAATGGCTGTGGCGTGAAATTTTGGAGTTAATATGAAAAGGTCACGGGGAGGGGAGTGTGCAAGTCACGCTAAAGCTAATTTTAAACATTTAAGAAGATAGCTCCAGTTTCAAATCATCCAAACAATGAGCCATGCAAAACTTCAACCGTTTAAACTGCACAGATTCCGTTTATTTTGCAAACAATCAAAAAAATGCACCAATGTGAGGAGAATTAGAAGCTCGAAGAAGATTCATTACAAATTCGCAGAAGTGCTGGGAGAATAGTAGCACTGATGGAGCATGCGTAGAGCTTTATGCCATCGGCTAGGAGACATGCATAATTGAAAGAAATATCATTTTGTTACACAAGCATGAAACCGAGTCACAATTGACAGCTTGACAAGTCGAAAGAGAAGCCAGCTTCACAACGATGCAGTAGATGTGGTTGAAATAACGATAAGTAGAACAAAAATGCTTTCTACAAAAGTGGTCCTTAGTCACGCATCTAACAGAAAAGGAAATGTGAGGAGCACCGAATGAGGCCTATTAAATTCACTTCACTTTTGAGAATAACAAGAACGCGGAGATTATACTATTCCATAAGTAAAAATTTATTATGTAACGCGTCTGTAGAGCGCTTTTTTACTGGCCGTACTAGCCCCAAAAAGCGATTAAACTTTAATTGTTTGCTTAACTCTCGGTTTTGCTAGCGGACCACTTAGGGGCTCCGCCATTGCACCTCCGCTGCTCAGCCTGACCTCCGAGCCGTACCAGTAGCCCCAACCTCAACTGCAAGTCGATACTACACATTCCACCCCAGGATTATGTCTTCTTTCCCAATCAGGGAAGTCGCGGAGCGCCACTTTACCCATAAATGCTAGTAGTTTATCGAGTTTGATTCTTAAACCAAACATAGGAGGTTCGTACAAACCCCAGCAAAAGAACATAGTTGTTGTATCCTTAGCAGAAATTGCATTCAGATGGTTGCCCAATTGATCACTAAAGCGAAAAAATTAGGTGAGAGCGAAGTAGCCGCATATTTTTCACTGACTAGTGTAAACCCGTCTATCTCATCCCCTCAGAAAATTCAAATCCATTCTGAAATTATTTGTACAAATTAACCTGCATATAAGTCCTCAACTACTTCGGAAAAGCGGATTCAACAGTACACAGTAGTTTAGAAATCTGGCCGTATACCCTGCTGGTTTGTTCCAGCTTCTCCAAGACGGTTAAAACGAAACACCTAAACCCGACTTTTGAACTTTTTTATTCAAACAGAAGCACGACCCACGGATGAACGACCAAAAAGGTGGCAACCGACTTCTACACGAACAAATGGTGGTCTCTCCACTACTACCTCCTTGATAATGACCATTTCTCCAAAAGGTATGCATTACATATGCATCGAACTGTAATGTGCAAATGAAAATACGCCTACCAATTTCTCATAATATCTCTTTTTACTACAATAGTTTTGGGTAAATTCTCCATCGTCAGCACATTGAGGGAGTAGGTGACCGTTCGGTCTCCGGCCCTTGTTCATGGGGTTTCGTGAGGTCAAGGGTTAAGGGGGAGGAAGGAAACTGTCGGCGGCGCATGACTAACCGAAAACAGGATTTCTCCTATCTAGCCAATCTTTTCGCGACAGCAAATGAAGTGCAGAAGGGTATTTGATGGGTCTGGCAGAGGTCATCTGAAAAGTGGTTTATGTGTTTTGCTTTTTGGTCATCTGGTGGTCTGGTGTAGAAGAATTTGACCTGTAACACTAGATCTAACTATTGAAGGTGCGAAAAAATCGCACGAGTTTAAAGGTGGCTTCATCACCGCGAAAAAGAAGGGCTGAATGACTAACAGCACGGACCACTTTGAGCCGCGAAATCACTTGTAGGATCACAAGAGATACCACTTTTTGTTAACAAGCTATATGAATGATCCAAATAAAATTCCGAGTTAAAGCAAGGCTTGGCCAAAACCTAAATAAAATAACCACCCAAAAGAGGAGGAATGAACTTCTAAGTAAATCGGAAATTGAGGCTGTTATTCATTTCTAGATCGGTGGCATCACAGTACCCAAGGCTTAATAGCAATTGTAGGGTAACTACCGTACTCCATCTGTAATCCTGGTTAAATAATGCTGTCACGATGGAAATGCTTTGATTGTTGATTTCAAAAGGGCTACACCACGTTCTCTCTGAGAAGGGAAGCCTTCAAACTTATTCACATGGCATGTTTTAACAACGCCTTCTTGATCTTTCAGACCTTAAATTCTAGTCCCAAAATGTTATTTGCAGAAAAATCCACTTGATGACGTCTTCAGTCATGAGTCAAACAGTGAGCGCTTTCGTGAAAAGATATATAATAAAAATGAAACTGTTTCATCTATACAAAGGCTAGGCTCCAAAATCCTGACGAAGTGCGACGAGGAATCCGAGAATAGGGCCAGTTTAAGATCGGAATAGGGTTTAGTATCTTTTTAACAAATAGAACTAAACTTGACTGTATCAACAGCTAGGACTTAAAAATTTGAAGTACATCTCTGTTCCCAAACCAGTCTGCCAGGTGTTGATAGCTTGGCCTAGGAAACAGTTTACATACTATGCTTTTCAACTTATTTTAACACTTTCCTAATTTATGTATGAAAATGCATACATGAACATAAGTGACAAGTAAAATGAATATTAAGGCAATTTTTTGTCTCAACTCATTTAATAGAGTAAAACCGGGGCTTGTTGGTCAGTAAAAAAATAAGAAATTCAATCGACTAATTAGCCATTGTAGAACTAACTTGCATAAAAAATAGAACCGGAAGTCTAACCGGATGAAGTGTATAGTGAGGCTAATTGATGAACGCATAAAGTGTGTTGTTTCCTAGGGCGAGAATTCCCGATCGGGAGAGCGAGTTTTTTCCACATTCAAATTAAGCGAGGCATTCAAGGTAGAAGGAGGTCACAGTGGATCATTAGTGGCCAAAGTGTCAAGATTAGACGTAATTCTAAACAACCTAGCAAATATATCAAGAAAGTTTGGTAGCTGGGCCAGTTCCACCGGGCGTATTAGATGCGAGTGCTAGAAGGGTATAAGGTATCAGGTCACGGTAGAAATGTCAATCTAATGGGTATATTACCATAGTATCGCGTGTGATTTATTCCACTTGACATTTTCTCCATCCCTCCACATAAATGAACGCTAATTTGAGTAATTCATTGCTTTTTTTAACTGGCTATTCATTTAAGCTCCATACTTCAGCAAAGCGTTTTACAGGACTCCCAACGGATACTGGAGTTTGGGGAGATCTACACAACGAAGAAATATTATATTTTTGTGCCGAATTTCAGTATGTCGGGTCGAACCAATTAGCAGACGGTCAGCTGGCTTACTTATTGAAGAAGTTAGGAAAGGGGTTTTTCAGATTCCTTTTCTATCATGTGCTTTAAACAACACAGCGCTTTTGCACCTGCTTTTCTAGCGGCAATTAAGCCTATCGATGTACGGTAAATGATACAGAATCAGAAATACTGAAATCGAAGTTATGCTAGCCCCTTTGCATACATAATATCAAAGTGAAATGACGTTTAGATAAATACATAACAGATTCGCTACCAGCGTCATATACCTGTGACATAATTCCAGCAGTGCGTGCGTGTGACATGTGTCCTGTATCAGCTTATAATAACTGGTTACGACAAAATGCGTGGCGCAAAGGGATATTTTGAGCATAAGACTATTAAATGGGTGCAGAAAATAATTAGTTTTGGGCGGATTACTGTGTCACTTCAGTTGAATAGCAGTAGTTGAAATTTTCAAAGAAATAGTGACTTGCAATCAAGTTGGAACAACAGAGCATCTGAGGGGTGGTGGTTGATTTCCCTCCGGGACTCTGGTAGTGAACGTTTGATCTGAAGGCTCATGCATAAGAAAAATCAACTCATCTCGCCTTAGGATGCAAATCCTGGTGTTACGCAAGGAGATGTAAAGTGGCTAAAGTCAGTAGTCTCCATTTTTTTATTCATTGGCATTTAGCAGAAAACTGTAGTTCCGAATAAAGGAACTCAACTGTGCTTTGTAAATCTCTTAATGTGGTCAACAAGACATGGAACTGTAGGAAGTAATGAAGATAAAGTACCGGATAAAGCAGACGCTTCAAGGACATTCCAAAATTGAAAAAACTGCATTAGAACCCATAGTCAGACAAGTTACCAGGCGACACGATTGAAGTAGGAATCTGCTCAGCTCCTGAGTTGAAAGTAACGGACCTAATCTAATCAATTAGGGGCCACAATTGCATGGTAGTTCAGCATAAAATCTCAATTACTCTAGTGTGGGTGGTTTGAATACGCCCATCGTCACTACAGTAAAAATCACAGGGATCAAATAATGAGAGAATTATGTGATATCCTCATTAGGTGTATCGGTATGTGTTATAGCATTTCATTTTTCGATTTTGAAGCAAAAAAACTTGCTTTTAATAATACAGCTGACCAAAGGCAGTTCTCAACCTGTTCATTGAGAAAGGTACGCGAATTGGAGCACCAAGGATTTTTCAAGTCAAAACTAACTTAATCGATGAAATCTAGAAAGAGCTGTTTTCGAAATCAACACGGTGGCAATTTCGAATCCCTTCGAAATACTTCAGTATTTAATTGGCGTTAACAATCACACCACAGTAAAGAAGCGCTGCCTTTGAGAGACGCCGCAGAACACTACTATTCATGACTCAAAGTGCCTGCAATGCTCCTTCTCTTACTCATCGTGCAGTTGTCAATATGGTTAAAACAAATTTTGAGGGCGTTCATTCATAAACCAGGAGAAAGATGGGTGCGTACAAACTATCACCATAGATGTTGAACACCTATTTACAAATAGTCAGTAGAGGTGGCACCTGAAAATAAATTGTTCCTTGAGAAGCGCCCTAAAGTTAGTTCTGCTTCTATTTCTTAATTTCGTTTTTAAAACTAATTCCGAATCTGTCAAATTGGCTGTGTGAAAAACGTCCGCTCATACCGTTTAGTCACACACACACCCACTACTCCATCTGAACACTTCTGCATGCCAAGCTACTGCAACGGACTGTCACAAAAGAACCTCCTCCCTTTAATGCACGAAGTGAATCTGTATAAGCATTTTTTTGTCCTTATTCCAGCAGGCTCGGATTGTATTCAGCCGTAGGAAAAATGCCAAGTCATTCAGTGGTATTTGCTCACATGTTCGATGGCTAAAAGAGAACAGCGTAATCTCAGCCGAGGCTATGCATTCGTTCACGATGATTATTGGAGAAGAATGTGATATAGCACCACGTGCTATTTCTTTTTTTCAGCCATAAATTTCACAATTTACTCACCTCGTTTACATACCTGCCAAGCTATTTAAGCATTGCATTTAACTCACTTATAAAGATCCTTTTCTACTGAATGCAAAAGTGCTCCTCACTAACAAGTGTATCGCTTAAAAATCACGCGACAAATCTAGTGGGTGAGAGGAAAGATAGGGGACAGACAAACAGATGAACATACAAATGAGTAGTGTGGGAGGGTTACTTAGGTGATGGTGGGGACCTCGGGGGCGGACGATGAGACGAAGATGTCAGGGAAGAGTTCGAGGAGAATGTGGTCTAGCAGGACGTAGGTCAATTGCTTGTTCCACTTGCCGTGCTGGAACACCTCGAAGACGCGACCGAGACGGCGTTGAAGCGTATTGTCCTCGGAGAACCACTGCAGGTGGAAGCCTACAATATACGAGGCGGGAGCAGACTAAAGGGCTGATTCAACTCGGAAATGCCAGTGTTGTACGCTACGTAAGTCTAGTAGTAACACGTGTTGAAGCATGGAGGGATGTTAGACTTCTTTGGGGCTCTACGGTCGACGAAGCTCTGTGCTGAATGCCCTCGATTAAAGCATTAGCACCACATGGCAAAAACAAGAAGCAATATCTAACAGATAGAAAACAGATTCCACTTACGGTTGATGAGCTGTCTCAGACCAGCGTACACCTTCTCGCGTCGCACCGCCTTCTCTCGTTCGCTTCTAGTGAAAGAGCCGTCAGAAGGTGAGGGAGATAGGGGGAGGTTAGTCTCAGCAATTCGCAAGGTGGTGGTGGTGACCACAAGCTTACCTCGGTGGTGAGGGAAAGAAGATTGAATCTAAAAAAAGATGAGATTCATAGTGAGTTGTGGAAAGCAGAGAAGTAGTAGGTTTGAAAAATACAATCCCTAAGTGGGTTCAAAATGAGCAAGGGGGCAATTTAGGGCCTCGGGCTGAATTATTAAAGACTTGAGACATAAAACCATAGTCGAACATTATACCTCGGTAAACAATGGCAATTTTTCCCAAAATCTACGAAACAAATTAGTAAAGATCCGGAGCGTAGCCAAGCCACCGAAATGCTTGGCACCCATTCAAATTCCAAAAATTCATTGTGTGCCCCTTGTGGGACAGTGAATGACGATAGTGGCAAACAGATGGATTTTGTTCAAAGAAATGAGATTCGTGTTAATTGGATAATGGATAGTGCAGGGTTGTATAGTCACAGAAAACGACGATAAGATGAATGAGACTAACCTTTCCTCACAGCACTTAGGTCATGCTCCAAATGGGCAAGATCTTGACTCATCACGATAATTCGACAAAAGTAAACACAAAATGGATGTATTTGTTAGGTCCGATGTGGTATTTTAACTGACGCTGACTTTCAAACACAAACTAGCTCCAACAGCTTAGTTGCCTCCGTATCATACATAACCAAGGTGGAATTTTGAAAAAAGTTTCTTGATGGATTGGTCAACTGAATCCCCTACTGTTCATAAAGGAGTCAAACTTTGCAACGGAGAGGCAATAAGTAAAAATAACAATATCCAAGCGGTAGGAATAAAAGACACTGGGCTCCCCTAGTTACAACAGGATTCACCCGCTCCTGGAAGGGTTACTGGACGACCGAAGTGGATTTACGGTGTGACGGATTGTGGCTCATCCCAGCTTTCTTCGTTTCCACAAAATATTGCCAAAAAAGCACAATTGGTAAAGAAAGTATTTTGAAGGCAAAGCAAAAGTTGATTTCGAAAACGTCGAACTGCTAATGGTATGAGCTGATACTGCTATTTTTCTATCTTCAGACAAAAAACGACAGTGGCATATTTTACGTAAGCTGTTCAAACAAGCAATTTACAACGGCAGATAAAGCATCCCAAAACCCAAGCGGTGTAGCGTATTGAGTGGAAGTACGGATGTCGAAGGAGGCACTTCGGAAAGGAATAAACAATTTGTCTCACCCGATGCCGGTGGGAGTCATCGTTTGAATTAGTAGTAAAGTGAAGCGATCCCATGCTATCTAATTAGGAAGACTATGTGCTCGACCATAACGATGAGTAGAGTGAACAGCCAGGTTTACAAAATCACCGAAAAATATATTATTTTGGGCAAAATTGGTAATAGGAAACAAATTCTTGCCCTAGCGAATACTCGCTGTTTGAAGTGATACTACTCCACATAAAAATAACTACCCAGAAGTGAACGCACCCATGAATGATTGATTGTCACGATTACAGTGTGAAGTTGAGTAATCCCAGAGCAGGCTCACGAAATCACTCCTACTTGAGCATGCTTTCCTTAATGGTAGTTCTCTGATGCAACATAACTCGCGGTGAGGTAAGAAGAAGCGGTTTTACTTCAAATCTACGCTTGAATCCAAGGTGATGACTGTAATCCTTCCGTTTACTGAGACTAACCCATTGAACTGTACAGGAAGCTGTCAGCATTATCAGCATCATCACCACTTCAATCAATAACCTGGGATCATGAATATTTGATGCTGAAAGAGCAACCGCCAAACACCATACAATAACCACAGCTTCAAATCAAGCAAGAACTTGTACCTCGAAGGAGCAGCAACAGTGGCGCGAGGTAGTCATTGCGCACAAGGAGTCGCAGGAACTGCTCCACCTGTCTTCGCATGTGGAGGTCTACGAGATCGCGAAACTGTGTGGGTCGCAACGCCAATCCGACGTTGAGGATGGCACGGCGCAACAGACCCGGTAAGTACGTTACTGTTCCAGCCGTTTCTACCATTGCCACCGCCGCCGATGAATTAGATCGAAGCCGTGGATGATGTAATACTTCAAGGTTCCAGCCCATTTGCTCCAAAGCACAGATCACCTCGTAGCTGGGAAAGAATGAGAATAATGACTGCCAGTAAATTCATGGGGAAGGGGAATTGTACTCTGAATTTCAATTATCCGATGAAAAAGGATTCTGCAGGGAGTCCAATTCAATCGAGAGAGTACAAACTTACTAATGACTAATTTCATTCATGGGGTGAAAATTAACAGATAAGTGCCCAAAAATAAGTAGTAATTAAAGCACAAGTTACTGACATATTAGAACATTTTAATGGTCCGCATTTACCGCCAGGCCATTAGAAAAGGCGATTAATTTGTGGTCAGAAGGTTCCTTAAAATTCTACGTACACCATCTAACAAATCTGAAACTCCGGAATCATTTTTCATCCAAATGCTAGATCCTGGTCGTTCACCAATCCACTTGAATTGAAGTATTTTGACACACCCAATTTCGCTTGCGTGTGTAATAGAATTTCAGACACATTGGCAAACAGTTCAAGCATATTGCGCAGCTATATTCCGCATAGACAGTGAATGACAATCCGTATTTCACTCAAATAAAAAAAATTGATCTTAAGGGGCTGCCTCTTACCAGAGGGTTTTAAGTACAGACCAGCAGGTTAGCGTTATGCGCTGAACCCACTGCAAGAAGTCCACGTAGACGGAAAACTTCCCAGACGTCGAATCGAGACGCCGCTTGGCAGCCAGTTGTTCAATGCTTGACGGACTCTTCAAGTCAGGCCTGCGGAAGTTGTCCGCCAGGTAGCCGAAGAAATCGTAGAAGCTGGTCACGTAGGAGCCCTCCATTGCACAGCACTACACATGTGAAAAAGAATCTTTTGCTGTAAAATAGTTTATTTCATTAGAAGAAAAAAAATACTCGACTGCTTGCCTACTTCTCGAGCAAGATTTGGTATCCCAAGTGACTGATGCGGACCAAGGATAAAATGAATATGCAAGAAGGAGGCTCCTCAAACCGTTTTACTGAATTGAAATGCCTTTATTAGACACACCCACATAACCGAACACCACATTTGTTGATGCTCTAAATTACCCGTGCATAAATCACTTCACAGCAGAATTCACATTCGAAAATCTGCGACACCTAGTTTTGGTTCAGCAAAGCTTATAAAGGCAATTTCAAGGCCAGTAATTGCAAACCAAATAGTGTCAATCAGTAGTGAGTAGTAAGGTCGGACAAAGATAACAGTAGATACTTCCTTTTGATAATTGCTAACTAGCATAGCCTCATAGAAAGTCGGTAATGAAATACAGTGCTCCGAAGAACGCGAAATAAAAGCGTTTAACTGAATACTTGGAAAACTCTACATGGGAATTTGGCAGTAGATGCGTCGGAAATGATTTATTGCAGAATGCTTTCCTCTCAACTGCTACACGTCAGAATTGCAATGAGGTCGCCAATGTGACAACCTATTCAACCACGACCCAAATGTGAATGCAGCTGCGCAGAGCAGCAACAGCAGTTCATGCGCCGATTAATCAGCTCCTAATGTTATGTAAATGCTGACGGTTTGCTCCAATCGGTTCTTATAAATCAGTTTCGTAGGAGAATCGGTGATAAAAATCCACGGAAAGTACTGGAAAAGTATTTGACGGCAGTCTGCTCTTATAGCACAAGACTGCTCTCAAATTCGCCTACTGATTGAAAGTCTATCAAAGAATTCCAACAGAAAAACTTCTGCAGCATTTACCTAATAATGAGGCCTAGCCAACCGTTTCACATCGCCTGTAATGCTCCGTGGAGTCGTTAGCGGTAGGATTCATTCCTTCCGAAAAGTCTAAAAGCGGTTGCGGAGGTCTATGACTAGACGCTTGAGAGGATTGCTAAGTGTTCAATCGCCAAAGTTGCTCAGGGGATACCTTAAATACTCCATTCCCCTTAAATTATGACATCGTTTACGGATATCCGACACCCCAAATATCGGCACACTCCAGTAAACAGAGGAATAACTTCGTGTCGTTTCAATGCAGCGGTTGTAGAAGTAAGTAAATCCCAAATAAATCAAAATTCAATTCTCAACTTAATGTCAAGTACCTGTTCGCGTATTGTGCGTTACAACAAGCTCGAATGTTGCAGACATTACAGACGTAAACTGCATCCCTTTGATTGTCACGCATAAATAGGGTTTAATTTCCAGAGTCCCATAGAGTTAAAACTAAGAGAACTTTGTAGGCAATGATCTACTTAACAATGACTCGAAACATTACAGCACCTTGGCTTGAGGTACCCATTTTCCCAATCAGCTTCAATAATCTTGTCACTAGAATTCTGCAACTAGTTATTCTAAAATCCATTCCGCAAAGACCCAATAACAGAAATAGTATTAAATGCGATTCAAAACTTGTACCTCAGAGCCACGCACGCGTTTTTGGAGTACAGGAGTGCCTGCGTTGTTCCAGTAAATCCCAGAGTGCAGTCGATGTTCCAGCGTGGAGTGAGGTGTGTGTGCGTCCACGCGGTGGCGGTTCGTCGTCGATGGTGCTTTCTGAGTCGGCAGGATGAAGCATGAGGAACGGAAAGCCGTCAGGAATTTGTCCGTGAACTGCCCTTTCTGAAATGGGAAAAATGTTCAATCCAAGGGCATCTCGTGTAACAAAAAATTCTTTAGCATGTAACGCTATAATGCTACAAAATCTGTCGAACTAGCCTCTTAATCCAAAAAGGTTGGCTGACCAGATATATTACGAATTTTGCGTCCATTTTACACTACTAGGGCCATATCCCTGAACTGTCGCTTCGATGCACACATTTAAATTCATCAGCCCTGTATCACAGCAGTACTGCTATTTATAGACTTCTGCGTCTTCTTTGTCTTCATGAATAACTCAGACGCTTTTTTAGTCTTCAAGTAACCAAAATAGGCCCTGTTGTGTTGTCATGCTCCGAGATATGCGTATGAAAGCCAAGTTGCAAGTTCTTACACAAACTGCGGCCTTTGAGTTTTTTTTATAACCTTGGTGTTCCGACTCGTTTGCATCCTTCTAGCAGGATCATAGACACCTTGTCACAACCCCATAAATGCAGTGGAGAGGGATATCACAGATGCTGCGGAATCGGAGAAATTTGCAAATGACTCCACCGCCTAATACCTGTTACGTCTCTTTGAGCTAGAAATCCCATAGAAGCCTATATTTACAACGGAGAACAACAAAGGCACCCGAATGATTAACCGTTGTGAGTAAAATACTATCTTTGACCCATCAAGCCATTAGTGGCTATAAATGACACCAGAAAATCCAAAATCTTTCCGCGTTGCGAGAAGCTGAGGAGGATCCGGATGGGCGAATGGATATCATTAGAATGAAGCTTTAAATTATTCCTTACCGTGTACCCCACCTAAACAGATTCTAGATTTAAGTAATAACAAACAAGCTCGATGCAGAAAACTTTCCAGCCTTTGGTTATAAATGTAATGAACGTAATTTGAGAAATTCCGTTCGCTCCATGAAATTCAAAGATATATGAGCCGTAGACCTTCTCCCTGCACTTCGATCAAGCAAAGCAGTCAGAGAATCAAAATAATTGGAAGCCTCAGACACGCAACCAATAGTGGATGGAAACGTTGCAGCCGTCAACAGCAGCGTGGCTTTCACGATGGATGCATACATCTGTCATTGTTCAGAGGAGCCAGTCTTTCATTCCATTAAAGTTGATTACATACACTGATCTTGTTAAAACAGAGAAGCTTTTAGCTGCCTTTGTGTATAGCAGTTTTAATGAGCACAAGCGTAAGTACAGCTATAGCAAAAGAGAATGAAGTGCCTATAAGACGTAGGCCACACAGTGCATGTTGATCCAAAGTCATCCCACCACAATACGGCCTGCCTTATGAACGCATACAGCTATGATGACCTGCAATAACCTGGCCTCAAGCTCTTTGACAACATATTTATTGGAGCCTTCACCGTAATTAACAAGCCTTCTTAACACATTACTTTGTAGCAACATTGGTATTATTATGGCATGTCAAGCTGTTGAATAAATTGAGCCGACTTTTACACATACAAACATACTAAAGGCAAAGCCACACACCACATCCTTGGAGATGGGAAGTGCCGGTCTCGTTCACGCACGTGTGTGCCTAAAAGCATGCTGGTTAAGAGAAACGGCGTAACATAGAGAGAACCCTGTTTACTGCTGGAATCTCATCAACATCAATCATCACAACCCAGACGTTTAATATTTCTAACAGTATAAAAAACTGCACCAACAGATTGGCCAATTCAATGCCTAATGTTAAAAAATCAGACAGTGGATGTAATTATAACAACACTAAGAAAACCTTGCATTCACTTTATTGTTTTAAACTCAACCGTTTGGCGACACACAATTTGGTCGTTATAAATTGATAGAGAACACGCGGAATGGACATTTACGGCGCCGGATTTAGGAAGGGAAAGTGAGGCATCACATGTATACAACGCTGGAAGCAAGTGGGTTAATGCCACTCACCATGACCCAACACCATGTTTATATTCTCCCTTCTACTAGGCGTTTGAAAAAATGAGCCCTTTAACGCTAGTTTTAAAAGAATGAACCAGACAGTCACCAAATGCGAAACCAATTACAGTAGGCTTGAGGGTGATTTCAGGGGAAGGACAGCGCAGAGATGAGGTCAAGGAAAGAAGAGGGTAGACAGAGTAATAAACCGCGCACAAACGTTCGTGTGAATTCATACCGACTGAAACAAGGAGTGCTTCATTCTCCATGTTACCTAACATTCCAATTTGTTATCAAGGCTACGGTGCTCTACCACACAAAATGGCAATCGTTCAAGTGAAACAAAGAGCTGAATAGTGACACACCAATCACGTGGCAGGCAATACGTTGGATGACTAAGGCTTTGAAAATTGAGAGATGGGCATTTTTGGGGGCCGTGAGCTGGCACCCATGCCATTTCAGCACATGAAAGCTGCAAAAAGGATCCGCACTGGATCTATGCAATTGCAGGTGACATAGCGCTCACTAAAGCTGCCAGATGTGTCTTTAGGGTTTCAATCCTACTAAAGCGAACAATTAAGGCAGCAACGCTCTTGCCCCTTAATTTGAACATACAGTGTTTCGCGGATTTCTTTGGAATGTAAAGGACCGTTTGAAATGACAACGATCCTTCGAACCAGGATGGGCTGCAGGAACGCAATCATTCTCAGCTAATATAGCCCAGCTGGACGCGATGGCAGCATATAATATTTCATGCTTTAATACTGGAGTCTCGTATAAGTAAATAGGCAATTATTGTGGTAATCAGTTATAACAAGGCATGTTTGTGGAGTAAAACCCGTTTAAGGCAGACCGTTCGCCCATTACGCAAGCGGAACATTACTTTTACAACAGTCTTGCCTTCAGAACCTGCAATAATACCACTTTGTGAACATTCAGAAGGCCATTGAAAATTCTGATTTGGCTTTTAAATCAAGTTCATTTAATATGGGCAATGTACCAAAATCCTATGAAACCATGGAAATTGAATAGACCAGCACGTTAACGTAGATTATATGTATCAGATATGCCCCTCGATAATTGAACCGGCTAGTAGTGACATGACGGCAATGCCAGAAGTTTATTGTGAAGAATTTGAGTTACAAATACCTCGAAAATGGCAACAAGATGACGAGACACAGGAAAGAGCCAATAATTATTCCATTTTCTTGTCGACCTTGAGCCACGTGAACCTTGGAGTGGCAATCATCCCTAACTTATGGGCTGCTTGAATATCCAAAGCGTAGATTATTGCCCCAAATGTGACAACTGCAGCATTTACATGCAGGGAGTAAAATTAAGCTTAAGAAAATTTCACGATTGATTAATTTGAATTGGTACCTCAAAAGAGAATCAAAGAGCTAAGAGTTCCACATTCCGAGGATCTAAATAAAATCTTTATCTTTACTGTAGGTAGTAACTGACTAATCATTTGCCATTTGAGGTGGATGGATGGTCTATCAAAACAAAAGCGCACTCGTAAATAGGACGAAAACCAAGCCAGATGAGGGCCTCAGATCATAGGAAAATTCAGTGACCAGGCTTTCCAAGTAGAAACATAGCCTGCACCACTGAGACCATTCATTTGACTGGCGGTAACGATAGCACGATAGGAAAAACGCGTCCAAGAAAAAAGGAGAAAACGCGAGACGACAAACCTCCTTGGCAAGAAGAATGGGCATGGATTTAACGAATTTGCCCAGACGAATGTCCGACAGGTTGCTGCTTGTGAACTCCACATTGGGTGAGGTGAGGAAGGTGTACATGAGTTCACTTTTTCGAAGGAAGGGTTGGGTAAGCAAGTACTGAAACAAAAAAGTACTTCAAATTGGGCTTGTTTTTCCACAAACAAAAAGCATAACAATAGAGAGAGACATCTTTAACCCTGAGGGTTAATTCTTTAGCGTACTGTTTTATAGCACTAGTTTTAGCCTGTGCCACAACAATCCCTACCGTGAAGCTGTGAAAATACGCAACGAAGGGAAGGAGAGCACAACGCCTTGATTTCGACAATTAAATGAGAATGGTTAGAAAGTCGGAAGAAGAGAAAAATCACAGCTAACCTCATTTATTACTACCGTGGAGATACACCACCACCTTTGTAACCAAGAATTCCAGTTTGTGACTGGGAACAGCAAAGTACATTGCTAAGAGCCCAGAGGAGCTGTAGTAGATGTAAAAACATCCCCAAAAGAGCGTGGAAAAGGAAAGTAAGAAGAGATTACTTTTCCACCAATGCCAATTTAATGGAAGAGGGATGGCTTAACTGATTCCGCCGCGATAAAATAGGAAATCGTCATAGACAGGTAGTCGCCAAGGTAGCATATAAGTTCAACTAGTTATGGGCGATTGAGACCTAAAAACCGACCGTTTAATAATGATTCGACATCTAGTTGTTGGGACACAAGTGTATTAGTATAAAGTTTGACATGACATGAGACTACTTGTTTTGACAAACTGACGTGTTGAAGAAACTGGATACGAAAATCATTTACAATGGCACATATGGTTCGATAAACACCTAGATAAAAGAATGTTTTTATAACATCATATTTACGTTAATAAAAAGCCAATGCCCAATTTGAAATCAGACATCCATTGAACACTGTACCTTAGAACAATGTCTACACCGCTGAACACTGCAGTAAGCCAGCAATGATTGCCACTGGATGAACCAAACAGCTGTGGTTTTCGCTCAGACCCTCTTTTAGCAAATTGAAAAAAAAGGAAATGGCTAGAGAAGAAAACTGAGGCAGACCACTTACTCTGAGAAAACGCTCAAAGTATGACTTCATGTTCTCTAGAAAGTGGTGAGACTGAGCCCCATACCGTCGAGCGTGTAATCGATGGGAAATCCGCGACCCATGAAACTCTACCAGCCTCTGTTCCAATACATAGAACTCCGCATACTTCCTGTAAAAAGAAAAAAATCATTGGTTGTGAGGTAACCAAATAATCTCGCTTAGTTGTTTATAGTGAGAATGGGATAACTGCGGAAAATTCGTAAAATATGCCATTCGTCGAAATGAGCATCATTACAATCTGCGATTTTTCACATCCAAAGACCAGATTTGTGCGAATTCCGCTTTATGAGACGTCTAGTCGCTAGAAGTTGGGAGAAAACCTAGCTCAAGGCGTGTCTGTCTCTACCTCGTCTTCATTCTCCATGCTCCTCCTCCACTTCGCATGCGATCATGCACTTCTCCAATGTTAATGCCACTACCAATGACAAGGAAAGGTGATAGTAATCGTGTAAAGAAATAACATCGAGGAATACGGAGAATGAGGATGAAAATGAAGTTGTATCACTCGCCCTCACACCTTTGAGTTGCATCGAGTAGATGACCTTCTGTCATAACTGTTGGTCGACTTTCAGCTAGTGGACAATTCCTTATCATCGATTGTGTCTGCTGCATTACTGGGTACATCCACACACGCGCACACACACACAAGCACACAAAATGACCATGGTATTGTGGGGATGAGATGAAGTGGTGCGTGTTCCAGAGGCGTGAGATGGTTGGTGGAGTAGGGGGTCATTTGGAGGTAAACAATGATGTATTTCCTCCCGTAACAAACGGTAGAACAAAGCACAGATGCTACGCCTCAAAGCACATCAGTCAGACTGCTAACCATCGCAAACTGGCGCCTTTTACGATGTGGAAGAAGCGAAGAACGAACTGAGGATCTCTGCACCTTACTCTCATTCACTATTCCACGTGGCCCTCATGTGCTTAGTACGCACTACGAATTCTCCGCTTAGTATAGGTCCAAACTAATTGTTTCACCACCCACATTATATATTGCTAAAACTTGTTCCCAACTTGTTAATCTCAATTTGACCTGCCGACAATGGCGCGCGATTCCCCCTGATTAAGAACATAGCATCTTGGTCTTCCTCAACTTGATGCAGCATCCATCTTTGAGTAATTCACCACTAGCTTCGAGTAACGTGAACCACTTGATTCTGGGAGGTACGTTGTTTTCCTACCACCCACGACATCTTCAAATTTGACGAGAAGCTTCTACAGCCGTGCAGCCGAGTCAGACTCGGCTCATGAAGCACCCGAACTCGTATCCCATTCACCAGGTTAAAGCGGCATTGAAGATACGAGGGAGAGAAATGGTAGAGAGCACAGCGAAGACTGGCGCATGGATAGACTGATGTTTACCTAGGCTTCATGATGCACGCATATAAACAA